GTTTTGTGGGGAACCCCCTCTAGGTCCTCCAGTAGAGAGGTTAGAATAAGGGTACCCTTTTTTCTGTAGTCTATTTTAGTAGGGGAACCCTCCCCAAAAAAAAGAAACGGTACAAGGGCACCTAGCTGAAAATACCTAGCCCTTTCCCTCCAACGAGCCGCAGTTCGGGAGAACCCGACATCGCCTTGGCCTGCGCCTTTTCGTCCGGCTGATGCGGCGCCTGGCGAGAGGGCATGGCTGGGGCGAAGGGTAAGGTTGACCCCTCACGCAAAAAACGGGTCCCCGATTTTTGAGACAGCCCCGTTCCCAGTTCATTGACTCAGCTGGTTGATATTGACCCCATTGTTCCCCCTCAACCAACCAGTTTATTGATAGGGGGATGTTTTTCCCTGGTTGGAATCATTGGAATCATTGGAATCAGACCATTTTGGAGGGGGCCCGACCCCCCTATTAATAAACTGGTTGGTCGAGTAGTATGGGGTCAACATGACTCTTTTCGAGGTTATCAGTGAGAACCCGAGGAGACACCACCGGTGCTTAGCGGGTTCTATAAGACAAACTCAGGGCATGAATGCTATGGGGACCCTGACATCATTTTGCTGGGACTTCATGTCCCACGCTGGCACGTGGATCCACCTACGCCCTTTTGACCGCCACTCCGAAAGAATCTGGTTGTTTTTGTCCCCCATTGCCCCTATGGGCTTCCCTCAAACGTCCCACCCAGAAATTGGGCTGCCCTCAGATCTCCTGCTAAAAGTTTAACTTTTAGTGGTGGAAACCCCCACTAAACACTAAAAGTCTAAAAAGCTGAGGGGATGGCTGGGAGCAACCAAGGAAAGGGTACCCAACAAGACACGCCCACGTTTCAACGGGGAATGGATCTTGGAACTGCCTGTGGGACGGCGGCTGCCAGGGGCACTGGCGGCGGTGGCGTAGCTGGAGCCGTCGGACCATTCGAAGTGCCGCCCTATCGAATAGCGACAGATCATATGGCTGTGGCTCAAAAAATCCCGGAATTCCAAAATGGGTTGCCCTGGCAAGTGGAAACATGGACCAACACCTGCGGTTTGCCACTTTTTGAGCCACACCCATTTGCGCATACTCAACGTGACATTCTCACTTGGCTGTGGGTCAAAAATAGGTACCCAAAATGAACCCTGGCAAATGGAAACATGGCTAAAACCTGCGGTCCCTGGCGGTATAATTTTGACCCATACCCACTTGACGTTTCACTCAAGAACGATCAAGAAGAATCCGGCTTGAGTGTCGGCCAATTTGATCAGTCAAGTACTATTGAGATCCTGTTCGAGTGTCACACAAATGTGCACCTACCAAAGAAAGAAAGAAAGAAAGAAAGAAAGAAAGAAAGAAAGAAAGAAAGAAAGAAAGAAATCTATGCAGCCCACAAAACAAGAGCCAAAGGGCAAAGAAACAAAAGGAGCATACCAGCACCTTCAAAGGGCCATCAAATGGCACCACCAGCGCCTTCGTCCAGTTTTGCTTTGCTTTTTGTTCTTGATTTGTTTCTGCGGGGCCCACATGGACCCTTGGAAGGTGGAAGTGGTTCACAAGGCATCTGCCGAGAAGCCGTTGGGGACGGAGGCGTGCGGATCGGCGGCACCGGCCGCGCCGGCGCCGGCGCCGGCGCCGGCGCCGGAGGCGGCGCGGCCGCCGGAGCGGGCGCGGGCGCCTCCTCCTCTGAGTCGGAGGGGTCAGGTGTCACCGGCCGCGAGGGCCTTCGGAGCACCAAGGATCTACTCGCTTGCAATCGGCCCCTAAAAGTACAAAGGAATTCCACCTGCAATCTTCGAACACGTGGGTCTGTCTTTTGTTTGGTATTTCAGTTGAAAACCAAAGGGACACCACGAGTGTTGTTTGTTGTGGTTGGCGCTCCCCTTGCCTAAAAATGTGTTGCTTCGCCACCTCAAAATTTGGGTTACATACCTCCGGGGTGTACTAAAAAAAACGGGCTTTCAAAGGTGAAGACCCTCCCTCCTTTTCAAGTGAAGCAGGGGTCCCGCCTTTCTAGGGGACACTTCCCCATTCTTTCCAGGGATCCTTCTTTTCAGAAAGCCATCAGAACCCCACAAAAACAGCGATCGGTTTTTAAAAAGAACCATGGTTGAAATGAATGGAAACGGAAAATCAACCCCTAGATCCTTCGCGCTTGCGCGATACACGTCACATTCGCTCTGGCCGAGTGGCGCTCGCGGCGCTCTGGGCATCTCTCGCTCTTTCGGCTTCGCCCATGGATCGCATCCTGCACCCAAAACCATCCGGTTCTCGGCATGCGCACCCGAAACCCCAGCTTGATGGGGACGTCCCTCTGTGGGGATTCATCCCAGGGGAACACCCACCTGTTGATCTTCCATTTGCTTTTTCGCCCGCTGGAAAATGAGGAAAAATCCACCAGTGATAGATTCCCTTCAAAACCGACAGGGGGAAATGAAAAGTATTCTTGAGCAAATGGAAGAACCCAACTCGACAGTACACTTCCGCAGCTGACCGCTAAAAAGCCCTTCGCACCATCGATTTTGGCCTCTGGACAAGGTTTTTGGTCACGGACCGCGAAAGCCATGCCTAACTATGGTCCGCCCTGTTCGTGGCTCTCAGCGGTTCGGAGGCAAGCAAATCAGACAAGCCAGGGGGTTTCACTCGGGTGCGAAGAACAAACAATTTGGAAAAAATAGACTAGCAATCCCCTTGTGGTGTCCCTTTGTGTAAACTAAAAATCATGGGCTATTTGGCACCCAATGACAAAGGAGGTATTCACCATAGAACACCTGAGCTTCTTCGGCGCCCTCAAAGGAGCAGCTATGTTCCAAATAGGAGGGATATGTTTAAAGGGGCAGGGTACGACAGGTAAGTAGTTGCCAACCGTGTGGAAAAAGCAGCTATTTGGAATAGGAGGGGTAAGTAGTTACCAAGTAGTTACCAACCATCTGGAAAAAAATGCATGCTTCGCAAGCCCGAAAATTAAGGATTGCCAAGCAAGGGGGTGCATCGTGGGTAAGCAACGGTTTCTTAAAGGGGCAGGGCACGTCAGGGAAGCAGTTCCCGTGCAAATGAACGCAAGGAACCCTAAAAAAGGGCCCAATTTCCCACGAGGAGTTTCTTCTCATGCTTTACTGCCAGGTCAATTTGAAGGGGAGTAGCAGTTGCCCAGCTATGGTTGCAACCCACCGAGCCATGGTACTCCTCTTTCCGTGGCTTACCAGGGTTTCTACTTGCTAAGCACCCTTCCAAGGCTGCTCCAAAAGCACATGGTGTGGCGGTTCCCTTCCAAAAACTGCCTGATTGACAAGGGGAGGGGTCCTGTAAATCAGCGGAGAGATTTGCTTTTCCACATGGCCAACATGGCATCCTTTAGAAATCCTCAGGCGCGAACATCCGGAACTGTGCCGTCAAAGCTCTTGGTCCCTTGACCATGGTGGGAATTGAATATGACCCTTCTGACTAAGTGGGAGTTTCGTCCTACGACCTTGGCACTTGAGGATTGGCACAGGAGTCAGCCCTAAAGCTTGTTTTGTTTTTGCCACATGTTGACCGGTGCTCGAGATGCCCAGCCTTCTTTCCACAAGGGATCTTCCGCCTTCTCCGAAACCATGGCAAGCGCGAGTCCAAATCGGATTGGAATCTTTGGGTCTTTGGTCATGGAGGGCTTGGATCCGGAAATAGCAACTGGCCCCTTGGTCTGTGGGCCGGGCGGGCCGATTCATGCCAATCTTGAGCCACATGCCTTTTTTCGCAGACTGCTGGATTTGTCAAAAAAAGCTCGCAATCAACTTGGCTCTTTCTTAGCGATTTGGATCTGTAGTTTGCTCACAAGGCTGCCTTCCCCTCACTATGCCCAGGTGAAGGTGCTCAACCAATCGCAAAGAGACATCTTCCATGAACTTCCATGAGTCTCCAACAATTGGGCCTGTCTTTCCTTGAGGGTGCCCGCCTATTTTATGTTTTACCTTCACTTTTTTTGGACGGTGGGGTGTAAAGGGAAACCAAAGGGAAAACCAGCACTTTAGAGGAAAAAAGACACGCCCAATTTACAAACGAAACCATGTACACCGTATTCAAGGGTCGTGCCCAGAGTCTCGTCCGAATTCCGCATGGCAATCCGATGGTTGAGGGAAGCCGTATGACAATCAAACTGGAGGGGTTCTGTTTGAGAATTATCCATGACGAGTGGCACCAAACACGCAAAGGCATTGGAGACTCCATTGCCTGCGCGACCGTCAAGAGTCGAGCATCACCTGGTTTCCCTGAGTTGAGGCATTGGCCCTTTGAGCAAAGCCAGAAGGACAACCAAAATCAAATCCTCCCGTGCCACTCAGAAGCATCCAACGCAAAATGGCTGCATACATCTGCGTTGGTGCACCATATGAACCAAGCAGAGAGGGAGGACAAAGAAGGGCGGCAAAGCCCGGACAGCATAAGCTTTGGGAATTGGACTATGTTTCTGTACATCGACATTTGGGTTCTCATAGGCAGCCGATCCCCAAGGCGCAACAAAAGGAAAAGAAGGCTCCGACCTCGTTTGCGTGCCTTTCTGAACCTGAAGACACAAGCTCGTGTACCAACTCTCTCCGAATGCTCCAAAATACCCGAGTCTCTCGCATACTTTGCCTCAAACTGGTTCTCCAAATGTGCAAATGCCTGCTTTTGCCAGTCGGTTGATATCACATCCAAAAAAGAACGAATGCGTGTTTCTTAGAATGGTGGCCCCCCTTTTGGCTTTTCGTTCTCAGATCCTCTCATGGTCGGACCCGTCGGTAGCTGAAATCAGCATGATGAATTCAACATCAAATAACCAACAGAACAAATGCTATGATCGACCAAACAGCCATTAAACAAATATATGTCCCAACAGCAAAGAAAACTAAACAACATTGAATAGCCAGCATGATGAAGAAATGAAACGCAATCCCCCTACTGTTCCTTTCAATCATCCGAACCGTTCTCGAAACACTACTCATCCTCCAGACCAGTCTGGGAGGCCGCACACCTTCGAACCGTTGCAGCGCAAAGCCCCCACCTGCGCGAAAACTTTGACGACGAAATCGCAGAGTTGTGATGATGAGAACAGCGTTCCCTACCCTCCAAGACCTGGTCCTTCCAAATGGGTGGCTCGTCTTTTTTTGAGAATACCCTTTGTGGGGGATTGAGTCAAAAAGAAACAAAGGGAAACCAATCGTTTTGGTGGTTCCCCTATTTTGAGACAACCCCATTTACACTGAAAAAAGTAATGCGTTCTGTCACCACTAGAGGCCAAAAGGGCAAAAGGCCAAAAGGCCAAAAGGCCAAAAGGCCAAAAGGGCAAAAGGCCAGAAGGCCAAAAGGCCAAAAATGTGCAGACGGACCATGCTCAATACTTGTGTGTGTGTATGGTCAAAGCCGCCCCCAAAAAAGAAAGAAAGAAAGAAAGAAAGAAAGGGAGGGAGGTGCTCCTTAAAAGGGTCCCTTTAAACACCAACCAAGAAGGGTACCCTCCACACAGAAAACAGACCCACATTCTTTGAATTCACGGGATTCATAGGGTTGGCCAGGGTGCAGAAAGCCAGGACGTGACTTGGGGTCTTAACGATCGCGTGGAGTTTGTCTGGCTTGCGCGATGAAAAGGCGAGGTCTCTCCGCACTTTTGGTGTCTCAAGCTTTGCAAGCTCCTGGTTCACGGTCCATGTTGGCGAACCTCCGGCAAGTATCCAGCTGGGTTGGCTATCGATGGAAAGGTAAAGTAGAGAGATTGAGTGATAGATAGGAAAGCGCATGTTGCCAAAGTGAAAAAGGGCGAGCTGCAAAGCCTCAGTAAACGTTCCAGGGGAGGGTTGGGAGGACAGGAAGCGAGAGAGATGAGAGAGAGAGAGAGAAAGCGAAAGAGAAAGAGAAAGAACATATGAATAAGAAAGAGAAGGAAACAAGGGAGAAAAAAACAAGCCCCAACCTATACGTAGTTCTTCCATATTTTGAAACGTCCGCGCCTGCCGGACTTCACGGACAACAACAGTAGCGATCACAACATATCACAACAACAGTAGTGATAAAATCATACGGGAAATCTAAACATGTGAGTGTGTCTGTTCTTCATTGTACCGGCTTTCCTTTGGTTTCCCTCAACACCGACGAACACCGGGGTACCAGCTCAAAAACAAGCCAGCCATGCAGAACGCGCAAAACCTCCATAGGCGTCCTTTTAGGGCAATAAATTGTTGTTTTTTATGGTAGATGATGAAACCACCGGTAAACCAGGAATCGCCATCTATGTTTCTACCAAAACCACAAAAATGACACCTACTGTGGATGGACGAAATCCATTTTGCACCACCTGAGAAACCCTGGTTTCTGATGATTCCCCAACGTAAATACCAACAAACATTCTGGTCTCCATGGTATTTTTTGGTGGTGCGAAATGGATTTCGTCCATCCACTGGAGGGGTTACGCAGCAGTTGGTCCATGGTTCCACTTACCAGGGTTGATTTGGGTACCGTATTTTTGAGCCACAGCCATCGTTTTTTCATCCAAAAGCACCAAACACTGGTAGATGATTAAACCACAAGATAAAACAGGGCAAAACCAGGTAAACCAGGGCAACCAAAACAACCGACAACTGGTAGATGATTAAACCACCAGATAAACCAGGGCAAAACAAATCAACCAAAAACAACAAAAACAAAAGCAACGACCACCAAAAACACCAACAACTGGTAGACGACTAAACCACCAGGTAAACCATGGCAAAACAAAACAACCAAAAACAACAAAACAAAAACAACGACAACCAAAACAACCAAAAACTGGTAGATGATCAAACCACCAGGTAAACCAGGGCAAAACAAAACAACCAAAAACAACAAAAACAAAAACAACGACAACCAAAACAACCAAAAACTGGTAGATGATTAAACCACCAGGTAAACCAGGGCAAAACAAATCAACCAAAAACAACAAAAACAAAAACAACGACCACCAAAAACACCAAACACTGGTAGACAACTAAACCACCAGGTAAACCAGGGCAAAACAAATCAACCAAAAACAACCAAAACAACCCAAAACTGGTAGATGATTAAACCACCAGGTAAACCAGGGCAAAACAAATCAACCAAAAACAACAAAAACAAAAACAACGACAACCAAAAACAACCCAAAACTGGTAGATGATTAAACCACCAGGTAAACCAGGGCAAAACAAATCAACCAAAAACAACAAAAACAAAAGCAACGACAACCAAAACAACCCAAAACTGGTAGATGATTAAACCACCAGGTAAACCAGGGCAAAACAAATCAACCAAAAACAACAAAAACAAAAACAACGACAACCACAACAACCGACAACTGGTAGATGATTAAACCACCAGGTAAACCAGGGCAACACAAATCAACCAAAAACAACAAAAACAAAAACAACGACCACCAAAACAACCCAAAACTGGTAGATGATTAAACCACCATGTAAACCAGGGCAAAATAAATAAACCAAAAACAACAAAAACAAAAACAACAACAACCAAAACAACCAAAAACTGGTAGATGATTAAACCACCAGGTAAACCAGGGCAAAACAAATCAACCAAAAACAACAAAAACAAAAGCAACGACAACCAAAACAACCAAAAACTGGTAGATGATTTAAACCACCAGGTAAACCAGGGCAAAACAAATCAACCAAAAGCAACAAAAACAAAAGCAACGACAACCAAAACAACCAAAAACTGGTAGATGATTAAACCACCAGGTAAACCAGGGCAAAACAAATCAACCAAAAACAACAAAAACAAAAGCAACGACCACCAAAAACACCAACAACTGGTAGACAACTAAACCACCAGGTAAACCAGGGCAAAACAAAAAACAACCAAAAACAACAAAACAAAAACAACGACAACCAAAACAACCAAAAACTGGTAGATGATTAAACCACCAGGTAAACCAGGGCAAAACAAATCAACCAAAAACAACAAAAACAAAAACAACGACCACCAAAAACACCAAAAACTGGTAGATGATTAAACCACCAGGTAAACCAGGGCAAAACAAATCAACCAAAAACAACAAAAACAAAAACAACGACCACCAAAAACACCAAACACTGGTAGACAACTAAACCACCAGGCAAACCAGGGCAAAACAAATCAACCAAAAACAACAAAAACAAAAACAACGACCACCAAAAACACCAAAAACTGGTAGATGATTAAACCACCAGGCAAACCAGCGCAAAATAAATCAACCAAAAACACAAAAAACAACGACCACCAAAAACACCAAAAAACCCCAAAGGACACCTATGGGCGCGACACCTCCGCCTTCCCCGCCTCGAAGAGGTGCGCCGGCTTGGGCCATCGCACCTTCACATCGGTGCCCTCCGGCAACTCCAGCGGCGGCAGCCCTGCGACGTGGCTTGGTGTCGCTACCTGGGTTTGGTTGAAGGAAAAGAGAGGGGCATGCTGTGGGCCCTCGTGTTTTTTCCATATGAAATTGCCTTTTTAGAAGGATATGTCCGAAGGAGGAAGACTAAAGGAAACCACCCGGTTCTTTCAATTGCTACGAATAGTCACAGTCATGTCAAGGTTCCCCTCTTAGGGTGTCCGAAACTGCCGTTTTTGTGCAAACCAGAAGGAACCCACTTGTTTTCGGGGCGGGAGGGTCGCCTATTACGCTTACAAACCAGCTATAGGAAATTCTAAGAGGAAGTTTGCCAAATACCCACCAAAACCCGAAGTTCCTGCAGAATTTCCTGTGGCCGGTTTCTTGGATATGCACCTGGACATCAATAAGCTCTGTTTGGGGCAAGGAGGTTCTCATATTGGGAAACAAGTTGGAATGGAAGGGTTCTGACCGTTCTGGTGGATAGGGCTTAGGGGGCCTAATGATTTGCCCTCTATCCAAGGCCTCAAGGCCCCCAAAATGCTTCAAGTTCCTTGTGGTCCTAAAACCCATTGACTGTTGGCCTACCAAAATGGATAAACAAACAAACAAGTGGCACCGCTCGAGCCAAACTGCACCTTTAAAGAATCTAGGATCAGTGAACCAAGCGGGTCACTGGTGGCGAATTGGACCGAAGCTCCTGGGCCCTGGGCCCAAATTATTGCAACCCGCAGGTGAATGCGAAATATGAAATATGAACCCAGGAGAGATGCACCCCTTGAGTTTGATGGGGCGTCCGACTTTTAGAGGCACCCCTTCTCTTTTTGGGAGGTGCTCCCCAGATCACCAGTGCCAACTTCCGGTCACAGTTTGTATGTAATCCGGATTCCATGCCCCGTCCCAGAGGCTATGATTGCTGTAGGCATGACATATTGGGGGAGGATTCCTCGTGTGAAGACCAAACCTTCTTCTCCTTCTCCTTTGTTTGGCAACCGTATCTCGTTTCAACCAATCTTGCACCCAGGCTTGCCATCCATATTGGCCTGAGATTGGAAGGGGAACCCAAAGGCAACCATCCAGTTGGAGGGATCAAACCACACAGCACACAAACCCGCTATTCACCATTTTAGTAGGTGGTTCTGCCACCTGGCTTCATGGGGGTTAAAAAGACCTTTATACTGTTGGTACAGCCAAAAGTCAGCTCAGGTTTTGGATGCTCCTAAAGCCTCCCACCCCAACCCACCCCCACCCTCCCCCCAACCACCCTCCCACCCAACCCTCCCTCCCCACCAACCCTCCCCACCCACCTCCCCCACCCAACCCTGAAAAAAGGTCAGCTTTTGTCACGAGATTCCAAGCGCGGTTTTACCTGGAAGCCATTCCAAAGCCCACCTCAATTCTCATCAAATGATGGCAAACAACACTAGTGAAGTGTAGACTTCTTGCCCACAACGCGAGAGCTGCTGACTGTTTATTGGACGCCCTGATTGGGTCTATTCCGTGGCTGGCTCGTTTGAGCTAGCTGCCACAACAGGAGCAAAAGCGAGCTTAACAACTCAGTACTCCTCAATTGGTTCCCAATCGTCAGGCGGCGGCTCAGACGACGCGGCAGGCGTGGCAGGCGGCGCAGCAGGCGCAGTCACAGTGAAGGGCGGGGCGTTGATCACCGCGTCAAGCAGGGATTCATCAGGCACGCAGAACCAACGCGTCACATTCCAGAGCTTGAGCTCTTGATCAGGCCCCACCATGCCTTTCTGAGAGCTAACTCTTGATTTGCACCATGACGAGTTGAAACACACAAGCAGTACATGCATCAAACACAAACACGCACATACAGATAAGTTCTTAAAGTGGCGATTCTGCATCAAAGGTGCATTCAGCTTGCGAGGTGCATTTCCACAGTAAATGGGAAATGTAAATGGTAGTAATGAAAATTAATGATAATTAGTGAATTCTTCAAAGTAGCCAAAGAAAATGAAACACCCAACTACAAATGAAACACCCAAGAGCATACTAGAGCACTAAACCGCGCAATCAAGCGCCATGAACATCAGCAGCGAGAATGAAGTGCCTGGCTCTAGGCTCACTGCTGTGGGCGATCGTGGCATGTGGAAGCAAAACGTGGCCGCGTCTGTCATCCGACTCGCAATATCTCGCGAACGTTTGAGCGACGCATGGCAAGGACCCAACCCTCCCCACCCAACCCTCCCCACCCAACCCTCCCCACCTAACCCTCCCCACCTAACCCTCCCCACCCAACCCTCCCCCACCCAACCCTCCCCACCCAACCCTCCCCAACCCTCCCCACCTAACCCTCCCCACCCAACCCAACCCTCCCCCACCCAACTCTCCCCACCCAACCCTCCCCACCCAACCCTCCCCACCCAACCCCACCCAACCCTCCCCACCTAACCCTCCCCACCCAACCCACCTAACCCTCCCCACCCAACCCTCCCCACCCAACCCTCCCCACCCAACCCTCCCCACCTAACCCTCCCCACCCAACCCTCCCCACCTAACCCTCCCCACCTGACCCTCCCCACCCAACCCTCCCCACCTAACCCTCCCCACCCAACCCCTCCCACCCAACCCTCCCCACCTAACCCTCCCCACAACCCTCCCCACCCAACCCTCCCCACCTAACCCTCCCCACCCAACCCCAACCCTCCCCACCCACAACCCTCCCCACCTAACCCTCCCCACCCACAACCCTCCCCACCCAACCCTCCCCACCTAACCTTCCCCACCCAACCCCAACCCTCCCCGCCCAACCCTCCCCACCTAACCCTCCCCACCTAACCCACCCCCACCCCAACCCTCCGCGCCATGGATGGCAGAGGTCCAGCGCAAGCCATGGGTGATGCCCGACACCTCGGCGTCGGCTTCGGAACTTCCGGCTTCACCTTCGCGACCTTCGGACCCCCGCGCGCGCGTTTTTGGCTTAGTGAGCTGGGACCAGAGCTCATGTAAAAACATGCCCAGAGCCGGCATGAGTTCAACCTGAGCCTTGAAGAAACAAGGATCTTGCTGTCTTCCAGAAATTTCCGATGGCTTGTTCCGCCCATGTTCAACTCCTGAAGGCATGAGTTTTGGATAAAAAACCAGTCGGAGAGAGAGTACTGGCCAAAGTTTGATTGGCTTGACGAGGAAAACAAAACTCACTGTGGAAAGGGGATCCCTTTAGTTTTGGAAGAATCAACGCTGAGCCGGGAACATCAAGGAGATAGACGCTGGTTCAACTCGCATCCCCGCCCCAAACTAAACTGGAATATATATATATATATATATTTGCAAGTATACCTCATCGCTTGATATAATCACGGCATTGTCCTCTTTGCGAACCAAGGGAACTGGATGCAAACGGTCCCTTTGCCAATGTGCACCTCCCTCTATAGATTTATTATGCGTGGATGAGCATCAACACGCAGCAGAAAACGCGCTAGCAACATCTAGTCCATCTGCAAAGATGACACAACTCCAACAAAAACGTGTGCCACACACCCAGGCCCACACGCACACATACACACATACATACACATACACACACACACACACACAGGCCATGAGCCATAATAATCATCACCGGAAACCCAGTGCACGCCATTGCTGAGCATCAAGGCAATCCAAAGGAGGCCGATGAGCATGGTGTATCGCCGGACAATGACCTTGGCTCATTCATGTGATCATGTGATAGGAGACGTGTAGCTTGAAGCATTCAAGAAGCACTGCTGATCTCTGACTCAGTACATGCTAAACTTGAAAGGGCGAAGCTCTCCAAATCGGTGTCCCTTGCATCAAGCAAGGTAGTCCCTGGTAACAAAAACCAAATCGACTTTTCGGTTCTCAAGCTCTAGCCAAATGAATGCACATACTTTTGCAGGCCATCGCAAAAAGAATAAGCCAGGAAGCAAATATTGGCTGAAATGGCGACCATAGTCAAAAACCTGATATCCAGGCATAGGCAAAACAATGTCAAAAGAAAACTCGGCTGCCCCTACGAACGGCTTGAACTGCCCACCACCACCACGACCACCACCACCGCCACCACCACCACTACTACTACTGCTACTACTGCTACTACAGCTAGCTGCTGCAGTGTCTAAACTTCTGAAGGATCCATGACCATTTCCAGTAACCTCAAGTATCGTCACTTCCTGAGTAGATTGCTCTCGCGCAAGAGTATAAAGTTCAGAAACTCTGGAAGTCAGTGAATGCCCCTACTCCAAATATCCACCGCACAGCCATTTGTCTGCGGCAAATCGCTCTTTATGGTTTGACCAACTGACGGCGTACCTCAAAATGTGAAGCGAATCAGATCTCTTGATCTCGGCGGTATTCCAGGCTAGGTGACGCGTCGAGTTTTGTTTCTGTCACAAAGAATCCTGCAGAGCCATCTGTGTCAAACAATCAGGAATTGGATTTGGACCCCCAAAAAGGTGGCTCTCCCGGTAGCTTCCCCTTAAAGGAAAAAACAAACGGGTGCCCTCAAAAACCGACACACACACACACACATGAGAAATAGGGAATCACTCAAAGGGGGGGCCCTGGTTCGACCGGGCCAAAGCTTTGGCCGCTTCAGAATCCAGGGCGTCAGGGGGCATTCCTGATATCGAGTTTTTTTTGTTTTTGGCATGCCCAAGAGGAATCTGAACCACTACGGAGCCTATCTCGACCCCACAGCTTTCAGCCGTCGAGGAATTATATCTTTGATTCTGGTCCATACTTGGTGGACCTTAACATGGAAATCAAGTCACGTTCCTGGGACGAATCCGAAGTCCAGCGAATGTTTGAAGGATCCCCTCTAAAGTGAGACTGAGTAATCAACCAGGGCATGCTATGGGATACTCATCTGGGCTCATCAGTCGGCTGCGGGGCCCCTGGGTTTCAAGTGCTGAGAAATGGCTCGGATTCGATTCGGGCTCTTAGGGTCCGATTCGTTGGAGGGGTCCGCGGGGCGGCTTTGGTGACTTGGGGCAAAGAGGTTCTTCAAACAATGGCGCGGCCCTAGCTCCAATCAGTGGCTCTGTGTGTTGGGGCCCGGTGCCCCTTCTTAGCGGGAAAAAAAGCCAAGCCACGGGCCATGAGGTCCCTTCGGTGGACATGGTCAGATTCATGTCCAACAAACACTTTTTCAGATGGTTCCCTCTTAAAGTTCATAGTCACTTGGCCATGGGTCAAAAGCCCCCAGTGAACATCCCAATCGCACTAAAATAGACTAAAATGGGTGGTGCACCTACCCCAAAATGGTCCCATTGGTTTTGACCCACGGCCACCTTTCGACACCTGCAACACATGCTCCGCGAAATGCTTTGGGCCCTGCTCCGGGCAGCGCGTGCGGTGGCACTGCCGACGCCGGGAGGATGGAAGTTCCTCCCTTGCGCGTGGGTCGATTCTTTGCTTGGCATTCTTTTAGGGTACTTGGTTGTGCCTTTCTTTGAGGAATCAGTTGTTGGTTGATTTCAAAAGAAAAAATGATAGGACACGGTTGCCCAAACTTGGAGGTTCCATGATTTTGAGACATGCACATGTGTGTTCCTTCGGGTCTTTCGCTTCAAGATCTACTCGCGGCCATGTTCGCCTGTCATGACGAATATATGGCCAGCTGAGTCAGCACGAGGCCCACCGGAACATGCTGGCGGTCCCAGGGCTCCCCCGCCAAAAAAGACTCCGGAGGCCACTGTGGTGCAGGGAAACAATAGATAGAAGCTGCGGGGCTCGATCGTGGCTCCAAGAACCGCAAGCCCCGCGCCAAATCGGTTTTAGGGTATGATTCGGTATGATGCCATCCAAGGAACAAGAAATTTGACCAGGGAAAGCAAACATGTTTGACAAATGCCCGAAGCAAAGCGGTTGTATCCTGAGCGCGGCGACAGACAAAACGGCACAGTTTGCAAGGCTCGCGGCTGGCCTGGGGCTGCAGGAGAGATTGAGCCTGCGCGCATTTGCAGAGGCCAGCATACTTCCATTCTGTAGATGGAACCTGATTTCTGCACGAAAACATGGGCCTCACCCAAAACCTGTTGAATTTTGGTATGAACCGAGGCAGTAGAATCACCTAGAATGATCAATGGGGTTTCGGCCGCTGCTCATGGGGTTTGTCAGCAGACTCAGAGCCGCCAGTTCTTATGAGAAAAGCAACCCCTGGGTTTACGTGTACCTGCCCGTTTTCACTTGAGCGGACCGGTACATTTTGGGTGTGGTGTCACCCCCTGACTGAAAATGAAGCATTTACATGCTATCATACTGTGGAAAGCCGGGTTTTTCAAAAACTAGCCTGAAAACAGGCCGGGCACCAAGCTGCAAGACATTATAGGGAAGGCTATGGAACAGAGTCCGAACATATGACTTACCCCAGATGTGGGCCAAGTTACCACTCACTCCTTGATTTTCTGGACTTCAGCTTCTTGGGAAGCGAGACTCATTGCCCCAAGTAGAAAAATACAATAATGATAATAATAATGATAATAATAATGATAATAATAATAATAATCTCTTTTTTCAACATGGAGGTCCAACCCAAAATCCGTTCAAGAGTTAAAAACATGCCACTCCACTCCACTCCACTCGACTCCACTCCACTCCACTCCACTCTCTCTCGATCTCGATCCGCGCCCGGGAGGCGTCCGCGGCCACGTAGGGCTGGCCGCTGTTGGACCGGGTCATCCGCCTGGCGCGCTCCAACAAATTCTTCGTCCCCATCCAAAACTAAACTAAACTAACCCAACTAAACTCCAACAAAATATATTTCTAAGCAAACTAACCTAAAAAGGACACTTTCTAGGTCCTCCAGAGTTGAGAGGTTAGGATAAGTTGGTACCCGATTTTGTTCTATGTCTATTTTGGTAGGGGAAGCCTCCCCCCAAAAAAAGAAACGGTACGAGGGCACTACTGGCGACCTAGAAATTCTAGGGGTAGCTTCCCCGGGAATCTTTCCAGAAAACCTCCAGAAACCCATGGAAACGGATCAAGTTTTGGAAAATAACGATGATTGAAAAGAATGGAAAAGAAAGCAACCCCAAGAAAAATCCTGTCCCGGGCTGGGCGTCACAAAAGTTTCGGGGGTCCCCGTGGCTCGCAGAAATCGGGATCGCAACCCTGCCAAGCTGGCAGGCCGTGCCCGGCGTTGGGATAAGCACTCCTAGTACTGTGGAGAGACGAAATCCCAGTTGGGTGGATGGTTTATCCCAGTATTGATAGGGTTCCGTTGACTTTGGGTTCTGCCGTTCTGCTGCCTGTTCTTTCCTCAAGTGGGGGTTTCTCAAAATGGGCCCCTTGGTGTCAGGGAAGCTTACGGGAAAACAACCTTTTTGCCGGGGGGGGGGCGTCCGGCGCCTCTCTCTGCGGGTCATCATCCGTCGCCTGCGCGAACTGCAAGCGGAAGGAGCCCGAAGGAATTCCCCCGGCTTCATTCCCGCAACCCCCGGACCCAGCCATTCAGTCCCTTGGCCATGGAAAAACAGGATCCCCTTGTTTTTGGTAGATGATGGAAACAGATCTCCCTCGCCCCAACAAAATGAACATGTGAAAAGCCCGGGCATCCCCAGCAGCAACCCCCGGTTTTCCCGTAGCTTTCAGCTGGGGAAACAACAAACAAATAGCAAGGTAAGCCCAAATAACGGGCAAGGCCCCGGTAAGGCTCTAGCGCGCTTGGAACATACCCCAGCTCTGAGGCGCCCGCAGCCTGGGCCGTTCAGCGATCTGGCACTCCTGCGCCCGGCTCGGAATGCGTCAGCCGGCCATTTTGAAGGGCGCCGACTCTTGGGTTGCTACTAGGTCCTCCAGATTTGAGAGGTTAGAATAGGGGTACCAACATTTTCTGTAGTCTATCTTAGTAGGGGAACCCTCCCCCGAAAAAGGGGTGAGAAACTGAGAAAGGGCACTACTGGGGGTCCTAGGCTATGAGAACCGCCCTCCCCCGAATTCAATGGTTGCTCAGATTGCTCGCCAACAAACTCTTCAAAGGGCAACGGCTCCGTGTCACAGAAACCGGGAATAACCCAACACAACCCCCTTGCCCTCCCCTACTGAAACTTCAACAAACATGATTTTCTGGGATTCTCAGGCAAAGGATGTTGGGGACAGCATGCTCTAAAGGGGACTGGGCGCCGGCCAGGGAAAGTAGAAAACAACTCCAAATTCCCCACCATGCCTTGCGGTGTGGTGTCGCCCCCCGGCCAAAACGAGAGGTATTTATTGTAAACAACCTGGCTGATCGCTCTTAATCCCAACTTGCAGGGTTGTTGTTATACCTGACTGGTTGGTTGTTCCACGAGCACATACACATAAACATGTGCCTGCATGTGTGTGTGTGTGTATATATATATATATGTATACACACATACATTATTGTACATGTATATACATACCCTTAACAAAGCGGTATTTGGAGTAGGGGCCAACTCTCAAACAAGCTGATGCGAAGTCGCAAGACGAGCCGCTCTCGACATCGGATCCTGAGCAGCAACGGAGTCCTGGCCAGGGACAGCCCACTCTATTAATACACTGGGGTTGTTTCCTACGGGGTCAAACCTTACTTGGATGTTCAACCTGGTTTCGTAGGCCACAACTAGGATATGTAGGACAGGGGTTGGTTCACAAGTGGACCATTGCCGTAGTAAGTTGAGCATACTGGTACTCCCAATACCCACTTGTTCAAGGGTATGTTTGGGGAGCATCCCATTTGATGGGTCTAGTGGGGAATCATTGGGGTCACCAGTAGGGTTCCAACTAGCATGGACACTGCACGCCAGAAACAAAATAACAACACTAGGGAGCCTACACGGCTCACAAAGAAAAGCAGTGGAAGGACTGCCTGCAAAGAATGGCAAGGATCCAAATTCTGGGCAACCAATGTAGTTATATTAACCCAACCATTGCTTTTCATGGCTTGAATCTTGAGTTGTTTATTTGCAGCCCCACCCATCTTGCGGGTTCTCAGAGTCTCTGAGGGAACGAACTCGAATCGAACCGCTTCCAAGGGAATTCCCTTCCAAGCATCCCAAAACCAAAAAACAAAGGGTGTGCGCAAAAAAAGGTTCTCGTTCAGAAAGACCAAATGAAGCTGTGGGTTTGCGGGTACGCCTTCCGGTTCGTTCCCAAGACCCATTGATTCCCGACGGCGCTCAGTCAGAAAGCTTTTCCGTTTGCCTATCGGAATCCAAGTGGCAAAAACAGTTTCTGAAGGCAGCAACAAAAACACTGTGAAAGGGTTTTGCTACTCGGGTTTGCCTTACTTTGAGGATGGCCAAACTGATTTGGCTCTACTTGGTTGCGCTTGACAACCAAAAAGGGCTTTCCAAAGTCAGGGCGTCGATTTTACCAAAATCCCCGGAAGTTGGATGCCATCCCCATGTATATCGGGCGTGGTCAGGTTCTGAGACCCCCAAACCCGGGGTACCATGGAGAGGGTGGATTGGAAGCCCGACGTCTGAAGCCTATCTCACCTAGGTCCTCCAGGAGAGAGGTTAGAATAAGGGTATCTTTTTTCTGTAGTCTATTTTAGTAGGGAACCCTCCTCCAAAAAGGGTAAAAGGGCACTTCACTGCAGGGAAGCTCAGTCTAAATTGTTCAAAAAGTAATGCCTGAACCACCCCAAAACGGAATAATTGAATGGTTGTGCGTCAACATAGGACCCAACACAAAGCGGCATGTGCTTTTGGTGTCCCTTTCCAACCTGGCAAAGGCTACCCTCCAAAAACACACACACACACACTACATATTAAGGACCCCCGCAACTGTATGGAAACGAACCACCACTTGTTCCGCACCCCGATTCGCCTCCCGCATAAGCCGCATGGCCTGGGGATCAGCTGGCTGAAAACTGCCTTGGGTTTCCATCTGGGCGTGTCTTTCTTTTCAGAGTAACTGTCTTTGCTCGTCTTGAAGCGAAACCAAAAGAACGACCTTCTTTGGCGTCCCTTAGAAAATTCGAGCCACCTTAAAAAGACGACCACATGTTTTAAGGGGCGTCCCTTAGACAAGATGAGCCGCCCATGTGAATCTAGAGGGTACTTTTTTTAATCTTTCCAGAGGGGAGTGAAGCTAAGTTTGCACATGGCAAGGACGCGGCCCAAAACCTCGACAAAAGACTTGAAAAAAAGAACGACTATTAGTTACAAACCTGTGCTGGTAATCAACTTCTCAACTGCCCTTGAGAAGCCGAAGGACAGACTTATTCACATCCCTGGTCTGTACTCGTGCCGAGGTTGACGTTTAGTCCAAACGGCTATGAACATAACAATGATATCACATATGATCTAAACTAATGAACCATGCAATTCAAAGGAACCCCCAAACATCCGCCCACCCCTGAGAGTTCTGCTCCTCCAGATGGATCCGAAATTGACATGGATCAATTGTTTGAACATGGAAAATTGAGAAGGGAAAAGCATAGGGAAGGCATATGAGCAAACATTGGAAAATGCGAGGAGACGGGACGTATAAGGGGGAGTGGCAATATTTAGAGAACAACATCAACATGTGCGCTGCGTTTGGCTGCAGTGCGGACGTTCTGTGCATCAAACAGAGCCAAAGCCAAGACAAAAAGCACGCCTCCGACCCTGCAGTGTAGTTTGGCACCGATTCTTTACAATAACTCTATTTTATTCCCAAGTAAATGACCTTGATCATGGTCAGCTTGTACCCCCATGTGAGCTCGGGGTAGAATAGGCAACTTCCTGGTGGCTCGGGTAAAACCAACCACGTCTGTAGCCCTTTGCATTTCAGCAAGGGCAGCTTGAGGAAAGATGCAGGGACTGCAGTTGGCAAGAGTCGCAGGCGTTTGGATGTCACGTGAAAGGCGAATTGTCGGTGCCTTGGGCGCCGATGTTAAGCAAAAGAAGCCGCAACCACATTTAGCTCCAAAACCAATGATTTGTGGTTTCTAATAACTTGGTTATCAAGGTTTACGTAGGCATCACGATAGCCGCCATACAACCAAGGCAAGCTATTGGGTGACCTTTGGCACGCGGGAGCGTACATATATATATATATATATTAGAACCCGCTTAGGTTCCCCTGAGCCTGCTTGGATGTTAGTAGGGTGAAACCACGGATAAAAGGGTAACTCGGTAACTGTCCCCTAGGAACCATCTTGTTTTGCCAACTGAGTGGCGTGAAGACCCAACTAAATGGCCAATGGGAATGATCGATATGGGCGCAGCCGATTTGGAGTAAGCATCGGAGCCCTGAGCTCCCCACAGACTGGTTCCAGCTGGGCAAATCCTCGAGGTTGCGGTGTGAGACGGCACCCGAAATGCTTTCTGATGGACGAAATCTTGTTGGTAGGTGGATTCAAGCATTCATAGGGCTTCATCCATCCCAACTGGTGCATCATGGGCTTGTCTCACAGAAGGGGACCGCTACAAATGGTTGTCCTTTTGGTTCCCTTGGACAGCTCTCCAAAAAAGGTATCGAACCCAAAAACAGAGCCACACCCGTTTGGACCGCCCGTTCAATGGGGTTGGCTCACAAAAAGCGGCTCAACCGAAAACGGTTCCGATGTCTCGGGCTGACAGGTGCCCCCCTTTGTTTCCACCCCCTCCTTCTTCCAAACCCGGAGAACAAGGGTTTTCGCCGGAACCAAAATGTTGTCCAACCATCTCACCAAAAGAGCGGCACACTGGACCTACTTCTTGCTGGGATTCTCCAGTTCGCTGGTGGCTAGCCGTACACGTCCAACCCGCAAACATCAAGGTTGGATTCATTTGGCTGGTGATCATAGGTGACCTTTTGAAAAGAAAAAAACGATGGCGAAATGGAACGAACCCATCTGAAGCATCGCCACCTATGTCTAACCAAGCTAACCTGAAAAGGACACCTATGCTGGCGATTGGACACCTAAATCATAGTCAAAACCCGGTAGTAAAATGGTCTACCCAGAACCATGTGAAGAAGGCGGCCGCAGCCATTTATGGTTGGGATTGTCCCCTACATCTAGCAGGGTTTTGATTGTGGCTCACCTCCATTTTGCTTGTCTCGTTGGGTGGGGTTGCAGGTCATCCGTGCTCCTTCGCCTTCGTTGACCTGCTTGGCCTTTCCGATAGGCGGATTTTGGCGAAAAAATGGTTGGGCTAATATAGACTCTAAGGATTTAGATGAGGATTTACATAAGGATTTACACAAGGATCTACATAAAGGATTTTCATTTTCAAAAGGTTGGTTGTTTACCTAAGGAGTTCATCCAAATTGGGTCAATTGATTGGTTGAACTCTGGGGTTGTGTTTGGAACAATCTTTGGGGAAGTTCAATTTGGAACTCAGTAGGGAAGCCCCCCCCCCACAATAAAGAACCACAAAAGGAAAAGAGGGCGCGGAACCCACTCGCTTAGTCCGTCCGGAAGCGCGGGGCTTTGCAAAGATCCCTTAGTCATAGGCCATCCATAGCGGACCTCAAAATTGTGGCGCGGTCGCTTTGGTTTCCTTCTAAAACCATTCAGAAAAGGGGTAGGCCGAAGATTAGGACACCTTCAATTGGAGGATTGGTGGGAATGCCTATAAACCCCACGTTCGTTGACAAGTGAGTCCTAATGAAAATCGGGTGACAATGAGAAGGTTGGCCAGTCCATTTCCCTAAATGTAGTCTGGCTGGTACGCTGGCAAACAAATTGTTGTTGTTTGCAGTCCCGCTACAAATGAACAGAACCAAAAATCACAAGGGACAGAAGCCACATAAACACCAAATAGAACATCCAGGAACAACACCCATTAACCACCAAACCACAGCATACATCTCGAGCAAACAACAACAAACGACAACTGAGACGTGAACAGAGTCAACAAGCCGGAGCTGCAAGAGGAGAAACCACCAAAGGCGCGATCTAACCAAAACAAGAACAACAAAAACAGTGAAAGTGTGGCAGTGTTAGGCCAAACCCTCTTTCAAAACCAGCTACAACTCCTGCGGGGTAAACAATCCCAATAGGCATCATCTTGGCAACTAATGCCGTTTTTGAGGGCTAACAAGGTTCGTTCCCTTTTTGGGGGGTCCCCATCTCCTCTTTGGGGCATGGGATGAAAGGGCTCATGGTCAGCCCTCAAAAGCCAGACATCCAATAGCTCACTTCGCCGGATTGGATTGGCCCAAGCTCCACTCGTTGTTTGCCAAAATTGGTCCTTACACAAAGAGCGACAGCAACCAGAAACTCAGGAAGTGAGTTCCGCTATGATTTTGAGGACGACGGGTCCAGCTTTTTTTTGAGGCCCCAAAGAAAACAAGGTTTTCCGCCGTGAATCATCAGAAACCTGGGCTGCCCTCAGATCCCCTAAAAGTTTAACTTTTGGTGGGTTAAATGGAAACCCCCACTAAAAAGGCTAAAAAGCTAAAAGCTCAGGAACCGGATGGCTGGGAGCCACCCAGAAACGGAAAATCCTCGGCCCCAGCGGCCGAAGGGCGAACACGACCGACACGGAAAGCGAGGCGAGGCGCCGCTGAGAAGGCGCCATCGAAGCTGGTGGCAGGCCGCGAAGGCTGCGAGTGGTTGATGTGACCCTCAGAGTCGATGAAGACCTCAGAACCCGAGGTCCTAATGGAACCCCCCTATTCATGAACCCCTGCTTAATAGGGGGTGCTTTCCCTGGGTTTAGTGGGGGGTTCATCACTTTTGGAGGGGAGCACCCCCATATTAATAAACAGGGTTGATTAATAGGGGGTCAACATTACTTGACCTCCCCTGTATCAGGCAATGCTCTGTGAGCGCTTGTACACAAAAAGCAGATCAATGTGCCAAGCAAGTCAGGACTTGCGCGTTGTGTGAGATACGGCCAACCAAGTGCAAAGCACGCTTTTTTCTTCTTCTTCCGGGTAGCTCAAGAGCGTAGGCTTAAGAGACGCCAAGTTTAGGAACCAGCTGTGCTGCCCCTGATGCAAAACTGGCAGATGCCCGTCGGGCAACATGCTGCTCCTCGCACAGGAGATGCAACCCGCGGGTTTCTGTCCATGCGGCGCTTTTGTCCGGCCACCCTTCACATTTTGCAGCACAAGGCAATGCACACCACAAAGCGGATCAATGTGCCAAGCAAGTCAGGACTCGCTCGTTCCACCCAAATGCAAAGCACGGGGACCCCCATAAGTAGGTCAAGATGGCCAGGTTTGGGTACCAGCTGTGTTGCTCCTGGTGCAAAAAATTGGCACTTGCCCACTCAAAGCCCTCCCCCCCCCAAAAAAAAAACATGCGTTCAGCGGTTGTAAATGGGGGTCTAGGGGTACCTTCCCCATTCTTTCCAGGGATCCTTCTTTTCAGGAAACCATCAAAAACCCAGGGGAAACAACCAGTTTTTGAAACGAACGATGGTTGAAAAGAATAGGGAATCAACCCCTAGAGGGGCAGACTCGAACACGCAGTTTGTTTGGCTGGCATATATCAACATGTACCCTCTACTTCAAACACCCTCTCACTCCAAATGCCAACTTGCTGGAAATAGCCTAAATACCTCCAAAACCAAACAAACCAAACAAACCAAGCCAAGCCAAACAAGCCAAACGAAACAACCCAAACGCACGGGCAACACCAAACAAACCAAACCAAACCAAACCAAACCAAACCAAACAAACCAAACCAAGCAAATCAAACCAAACAACAAACCAAGCCAGACCAAGATTAAACCAGACTAAACCAGCCAACCAACCCAAGCCCAACAAAACCAGACCCGAAAAACAAAAACCAAACCAAACCAGACCAAACCAGACCAAACCAGACCAAACCAGACCAAACCAGACCAAACCAGACCAAACCAAACAAAAAAGGAAAGCGCATGTGTTTTTTTCAGCAGCTGCTTTGGCTCTGGGGATTCCGGCGGACTGCTCCCCATAGCCGCCGTAGGCACCCATGAGCCCCGAGGCGTCCACACCTTTGCAGATGTGCCGAGCGAGAGGCTGACGCCTCAAAGAGGGGTGAAACCCTGGACAAAACTCGTGCCAGTTATCTGGGCTGCCCTCAGTTTTGTTTTTCGCTAAAAGTTTGACTTTTAGTGGGTTACATGAAAACTACCACTAAACACTAAAAGGCTAAAAAGCTAAGAGGATGGCTGGGAGCCACCAAGTTATGTTTGTCAACCTCTGCTTATTTAATAGGCGGTGCTTTTCCCTGTGTTTTGTTTGGGGATTCTGACCACTTTTGGAGGGGAACACCCCCATATCAAGGGGTTGATTCCTTTTCCATTCACCTCCGTAATGATTAACTGGGGTTGATTGGTTAACAATAGGTACCCAACATGGAGCCCTGGTAAATGGAAGTACGGAAAGGATCTAGTTTAGGGGGGTCCTCTGACTGGTAGGGTCCTCGGATTCATTCGAAGTTAAATCACTTTTGCTGTTTCCCTTGAAACCACCGTGGAGAGGGTGGTATTGAGGATCCGTAAAGTATCTGTGAGGGCGCACTTTAGTGGCTGGTTTACAAAGGGAAAGCAAAGGGATGATCACCCCACCCCCCTAAAGCACATGACAACGCCTTGGGAGTATTGGTTTGGGCTAGTGGGAAACCATGCCGAGCCCATTGACTCTTGTTCTACCGTCAAGATTTATACAGCCCTGACAAAACAAACAGGTACTCAGCTTTGCGCTCTAGCTTCCTCAAGTGGGGTCTACTCCAAGGCGGCGCATCGGTCAAAGGCGAGTCAGCACATGCCGCCAACGGAGTGCCGACTGGGCAGCAGGGGTCGGATTGCAAGAGTACGAAAGCATTTAATTGTCATCAAACGTGATCAAGTGCAGCCTGTGGCAACAAAAGGTTGGGTCGCGCGCGAAAACGCCGGGTCGCCGGTTGGGCGCCAAGCATTCTAAGTAACTCGGAGTATTCGCTTTGGACGGATGATAGACTCGCGCAAGCATCATCATGCTTATGACCCAAAGCAAGGAAGCTTGTGTTGCGATGGATCTGCGTGAGAGTGGCAAGACGGCGGCTTTCTCATCATCATAGTTCAGGAATTCACACAAGTCATTTTTATGGTTGGCTTCGGTGCGGAGTTGATATGGAAAAGATGTTTTTCTTGCACCCTGAATCTTAGTCAAAAGCTCTACACGCGAGATACCCCAATCCATCGGGTGAGGCAACCACTTTTGAGGAGGTCCCACATCAACAAATCGTAGCAATGTGGATGTGTCTCAAAAATGACCCGATACTGGTTGGTTGTCATTTGGCTCCCCAACCTGATTTTGTTTGCGGGTGGGCGCTCTTGTGGACAAAAATCCAATGTAATGCAATGGCAGTTCCACAAATACCGTGGACGACATCCATTTGCGCCACCTAAGAAACCTGGAACGACTTGATTTTTCTGTGAATACCAAGAAACAAAATGGCTCCATGGCTTCTTGGGTGGTGCGAGATGGAATTCGCAACCACAGTAACACGGCGCCGAGGGGGCCCAGCCGCCCAGGTAGCCCGGGCCCCCCACGCACATCCCGCTCCTCGCCGGAGGCCACCTGAAAGCGCGTCAAGCCTTACCAGTTGCCCTTAGGGACCTGGAAACAGAAGGTGATCACCTGGTCAAAAATGTACCAAAACGGGGGGGGGGGGAAACAACGGGAAGATGTGAACCTTGTCATGGCTAAAAATGGGCCAAAACGGGAAAACCAAAAGGTCAAAAGGTCGGATTCGCTTTGGGCAACTAAGCTTAGGGTTGATACCCACAAAACGGTTGGCTTGCTGGTGCTCAGGAGGGAATGAGGGAATGAACCTTGTAAACCATCCCTTGGCCACATACTGAGCGCCGGCAAGTTGGTTTCCTTGTCGTTGTTTGAAGCCACCATCCAGAAAGGGTCGCCTATTTTAAGACAGATTCAGGGTGCAACAGCTGGGCATCATGTACAAGCGGATGCACTGGGGTGGTTGCCTGACATTCATGCCCAAATAGCCAAAAGCAAATGCCGAGAAAAAGGAAAGCCACACTGACGTGAGATGGAAATAGTGACAATTTGCCAGTCGAAAGGGAGCATAACGGCGCCGGACCCTGAACCAACAAGCGCCGTCAGAAACAAATCTAGCCGCGCGGCTTCAAGCGGATCTAGGGCATAAGCGAGTTTATCACCGGAAGCTCTTCAAAGAGGAAAAGGGCATCATTGCAGGACCTCATGCTAAACTACTCCCTTCCCCCTAATATTCAAAAAAGCCCCCCCATTAAATTATGTCAGCTGGGAAACATTTGTTTTGTTGTAGGCGTGCACAGTTCCAGGTGTGGGGTGTCCAGTGTGTGTGTGTGTGTGTGTTGCTTTCTTCACTTCTGGTGGGGACGGAGTCAAATCATAGATTACAAAAGCACCCCCCCCTGAACCCCCCCCCTTCCAGAGTAAGGCCAAATTAAGGGCACACATAAAAGGAAGGCCTTATTAAGGATTTAGTAGGGACTTATTAAGCCCTTATTAAGGCCTTAATATGGCCTCAAAATTAAGGAGGAATTAAGGCCAAATTAAGACCAAATTAATTTTTGGAAATTCACCCTTATGGACAAATTAAGGCCAAATTAATGTTTTGTTTGTGCACCAATGACTCAAGCCAATTCAAGACAACAATGCAAATTGTAAAACAGACTTAAGGCAAGACTGAGCTCAAACGCGCCAGCCTTTCAAACGTGCTAAATGAAAACGCGATGTCCTGATTTACGGGTGCGTGCCTACGGTGTATTGGGTTGGGAATCACGCCAAGCTACTGTAAAGCAAAATTATGGCCAAATTAAGGCCAAATTAAGGCCAGATTAAGGCCAAATTAAGACCAAATTAAGGCCAAACTAGCGCAAATGCCTATGGGATTTTGGTTTAAGCACAATTAAGGCCAAATTAAGGCCAAATTAAGGTCAAATTAAGGCCAAATTAAGGCCAAATTAGCGCAAATGCCTATGGGATTTGGGCTCAAGCAAAATTAAGGCCAAACTAAGGCCAAATTAGGGTCAAATTAAGGCCAAATTAAGGCCAAATTAAATCCGGATTGGCGCACATGCCTAATGCAGCAAACATATGGCTCGAAATAAGGCAAGAGTAAGGCAATCGTAAAGCCCAATTCAAGGGAATACTGAAAGCGCGCCTAGGGAATTTGAAGAAACAGAAACTGAAAGCCAAACTAAAGTAACATGAAATCCAATCGGCGGGCGGGTTGGCTACCGAGCGCCGATGGCTTCAGGAAGTTGCTTCAAAAAATAGCCCCTAATAAGCCCTAATCAGCCCTTATTTATTTTGGGGGGGTGGTTCAAAGGGGGGCTGGTTTGGAAACTATGATCAAAGATGAGAGGTCTAGTTCAGACAGTACTCAAGTACTCCTTCCTTCCCGACCTAACAAGAACTTCACAAATGACTGTTTACATGAACGGGATATAAAAGGGAACCGTAATCCGGTCTTTTTGATTGCTGACGGAGGGCAGGGTGTCCCCTAAAAAGAGACCTACAGGAGAGATTGATAGCTCAGTATTGGTTTCAAGTTAGGCTATGCTAGTTAACCATTGGGCCCCCCAGGGCTTTGACAAAACAGTTCATCATTATATAGGGGACCTTTTCAGGGACGAGATTGCCATGAACGTGTCAGCATGTTTGCTCAAGGGCCTTCAGAGGGTAAAAGGACCTATTTGGATGTTCAACCTACTCGGAAAGTAGGCCACAACCAGGGTCTGTGCGTGGGTCAACGGGGGTGGTTGACTTACAACCATGGTTTTAACATTCTAAGAAAAACTCCCTCCTGTTCAAAATATCCTAAGGAACGGTCAAACGGGCTGAAACTCATCAGTACAGCGCCACGGTTTGCAGGTCAGCAGAAATTGATCTTTCGGGTGGTTCCCACTTATCATGAATAAGAGCAAACAAAACAAACAAACAAACAAACAAACAAACAAACAAACAAACAAACAGCGCGAAGCAAAGTTGGCCACCATGTTCCTAGGCGAGCACAGCATGGACTTGCGTGTGTCTCTAAAGGCAGTCTCCTGATTGAAGTCTTGTTTGAAAAAGCCCCCAAAAAAAGGCACCCCCAAATTGTCTCCGACAAATGTGGATCCGTTTTGATGGTGACTTTTTAGGGAAACCCAACCAGTTTGGATGGTTTTGCCCCCCGAAAGGGACAAACGCCTCGGGATCACCACGTTTTGGGTGCCTTGACCGTGGCGCACATGGGGTTTGTCAGCAGATCGCGTCTGTGAATCACTCGTGAGGGACGTTGGGGGCCGCATTTAGGTATGTGTCAAGAATGGCGGGGGGGGGGCATTTTTAATCGTGGTAGTCCCTTTGATTTCTCTGTAAACAACTCGGAAAAAGGTGCAAAACCAAAATAACACTTCTTACTTGCACAAGTGAGTGGCGAGCTGAGCTCACAAAGCCAGATCCTCCTGTAGGTTGGGGATCCAACTTCTTCAGATTTTAGAGATGTGGCCATGGGTAAAAATCCCTTTTACCCCCAGTGAACATCCCAATCCAACCACTAACATTGGTTCTAACATGGGCGGTGAATCCACCTACCCCAAAATGGGATCCCAAAACGGTTTTGACAACCACAGCCAGGCATGTGAATCAAAACTCCCTGATGGGCTTTCCGCCTCGAGAGCGCTGAGCGCTCCTTGCCTGCGCTGGAGGCGTCAGAGCTGCCCTCTGCGTTTGGTGCTTGAAGGATTCCAGGGGTGTGTTTTCGCTTTTTGTCCACGAACATTTCGGGTGGGCTTGGGGTGGAAGACATCAAGAAAGAAAGGGGCAAAGAAAGGAAGGGCAAAAAGAGAAACACAAAGGAACGAAGAAAGAGGGAAAACGGTAAGGAATGAAGAAAACGGGAAGGCGAGCAGGAAGGAAGGAAGGAAGGAAGGAAGGAAGGAAGGAAGAAAGGAAGCAAGGAAGAAAGGACGGAAGCAAAAGGGAAGCAAATTGGAGGAAGGGAAGCATTGACAGAAAAGGAAGGAACAGGATGAAAAGGAGGTTGGAAGCCTGAAATTGGCTGGACGCCCCTTTGCCCACGTTTCTGGAGGATGGTTGCAGAGATTTCTGTGTCAATATAATACCCTGCAAAAAGTTGGTATTTGGAGGTGGCGGCGAACCTTACCACCATAGGACCAGGCAGAACCACCTACTATTAGACTATGGGGACTTTGGGAATCGCAGTGGGGAAAAACACCTTGGTGACTGCCTTTCAACAAAGTTCAATGCTTGCAATGTCCAAACGCATCCCAGGGTTTTGCGAGTGGGAAAGAGAATCGGGTGGTCTTCCCTGGAAGAAAGTATAAAGTAACGTTGTAAATATCCATCGCTCATGTGCCCTGTACATGCCTTTTGTGGCTTGTATGGGGGCTCTTTTGTGAGTGGGCCCGAATCAGCCGTGCGAGTGCTTCTCAACATGGCGGACAATTTCTGGCTGCGTAGCCAAAAGAAACCAGAAGCATTTCTTGGAAAACACCACACCTCGAGAACCCCCCAGTTGAGAACGTGTTGGCTTCCGTTTTGACCACACGGTCTGAGCCCGAGTTGGGACCGCCAAGTGGGCTTGGAGGCTTCGACCTCCCCTAAACCATCCAAAGAAGGTACGGGGTTTGGACCAACATGGCCGAGCGGGTTGTCCTTTGGGTGTCCCTTTAAAACCCAACAAGTGCTGCCAAAGAAACAAGACACAAGCCGCGCCAAGCCAAAGCCCTGCCTCCCGGCAGGGCTTCCGTTTCCAGCGGAGCTGGAGCGAGAAGTCGGGCCGAGGGGGCTGGACGGGCTTGTGGGTTGCAAAAGGAAAGCTCCTTGAATCCCCAACGAGGTTCGAACAGCATGACAAAAAAGGGTGCTTTACCGTAGACTTCAAGACAAACCCATGTCATTCATGAACCATGTGGTTTCGCTCTTTTCCGTGAGCTCCGATCTTATCAGCGAATGGAGTCACATGCGCTTCTGCGATTTGACTGGACGTCCGAATGCTCTAGTGGTTGACTCCACATCGTCAAATACCGCAATTGCTCTTTTCCGAAACCAGCCGTTTTTCCCTGAGATGTTGCCGGCTTCCTGGGAGAGAAGGATCCTTGGATATGGCGTGTTGCTGTTGGGCTCCCTTTCAAAAAAAACAAAACACCACTGTAACAAAATCACAGCTTCAGTGATGCCGTTGTATGGTCTACTGCCCCAACGGCTGTGGGGCTTAAGTGCCTGTCCTTGGTTTGGGGCGGCGGGGAAGTTCTGTGAGGGTTATTTTGGTTTGACGGCTCAAAGGAAGCACAATGGAAACCGCCGCTTTCCACCTGCACCATACTCCAAATACCCATTGTTTCTTGGGCGTACTTGGAAACAACAGTTTTTGCATGGCAAATACCCCCTTTTGCACCCATTGACATCATTCAATATGGGCATTTATTTGCAGAAGGGGTGTTCGACCGATTCCCGTTTCAAGCACCAGTAGGTGTCCATTTCACGTCACCTCTGATGCACCGTCCTAGGTCCTAAGGTCCCAAGTCCAATGGCGCGGCGGTTGGAACCCCAAAACCACCGTGATACCAAAGTGGTGGGCAATCACCAGAAAGTGGCATGGATCCACCCCCAAATCGGGTTAGCTATGCTGACCTTGGGTGGATTCTCAAAAATGACCCCTGGCTGGTCGATTTGAAGGGTCCGTGTCCACCCAGGATCGCTTCCCAATTCAGCAAATCATTTTTGGGGCTTGCAACCAGCTTCGACGAGTTACCAAGGATCTGATGGGCGTCCATTCAAATTTCTCCTTTGAGCCACAATCAAAACCGATCGGCCTTAAAATGGTCTTTCCAGAATGCAAGGAATGAACAAGGCACCCGTTTATGCTCGCGCCTGCAGATTCCCAGGTCCAGCTCCCGGCACCTTGCTCGCCGAATCCGTGGTTTTGGTGATTTAAACTTAAACCCCCCCACCCCGGTTTTCGGCCGGGCAGAGAGAAAAGTATAGGGCAATTTTCGGAATCCCTTCAACGGATCTTGACATGTTGAATATACAACGGCCTGACTTGGGGCTGCACGCACAATTTCAAGCTCTGCTCCACATGTAGTCTGCTTCACAACAGAAACAACGCATAGGGTTGGAATTAAAAGACCCGAGGCCGGAAGAGGACATGCGCGACATCATCTCGCATCCAAACTCCGGAGGAGGCTACTGCACTGGATTTCTCTGTGGCAATGGCCGCCTGGGCCAAAAGTGTTCGATGTCTTGCTACTGAAAGAGTGAAATGGTGTCTTTGTGAAGGTTGCACCTCCCAAAATGGCTTTGGTGCTCCTTGTGGTTTCGTTTAAGAAAACAAAACACACAAAAAGAAACGGGGTACAAACCCCAAAAAAAGACGAGCCACCCAAATAGAAGATTAGGGATTGATCTTGAACCCGATGATCCCGATTCTCTGCCACCCGTTTTGGATTCCCGCATTCTTTGCAAACGTTGAATCCGTTTTCATATCTACAATGATCGTGTTCAGAACCAGCCGCTTTCCTGGATGTTGGTTTGGAAATGGATGGAAGTTACCCCTGTAAGTGTTTCCAATACGTGACCTTTTGCGGTTCTCGGAAACATCTGATTCCCATTCAAAACTAACAGGTACCTCCTACTTGCAATACCCCTTTTTTGGTTGACTTACTTAGAAAAACCAGCGGCAAGCACCTCCTTTTGATCAGGGATTACCAGGTCATACAAATAAGTGGGTAGCAGTCAGGTGAAGAGGCTACCAAAAGATCGGAAATTCACTCCACACGCAGGCGCAACCCACGTCTCGCCAACGAGGCCTGCTGAGGAAGGACTGGTAGGCAAGTTCAATCTCCTGTCTGGATGCCCGGGCTAAAATGCGATATAACCATGGGTCAAAATCCCGTACCCCCAGTGAACATCCCAATCCCCACTAAACTAGACTAAAATGGCTGCACCTACCCCGAAATGGTACCGTTGGTACTGTGCTCTTGTGCTGCAGGGACCAGCAGACGTCAGCAGGAACTGGTGCACTTACACGCGGCTTTGACATGAAAAGCTGCCTGAAGCCATAAAGAAAACAAGCGACTTGTTGAAAAAGTTCGAAAACGTCTCCGCTCGTCTGATGCGGTTCGCCCATTTGGGATAGCTCTTGTTTTTCCAGAGTCAGCGAGCCTTGAAATGTGAAATTGATGTCAAAGGGGTCCCGGCTGCGGCTGCAAACTACCTCGCCGTTGCTGTTTTTTTGGCAGAGAATTAGTTGGATGGCGTCTAGTGGGCAGTGTCTCGGGCACAACTCCGGTTGTATAAAAAGCTTTCAAACTCTCAGCACTCGCATCCATGTCCAACTTGTTTCCAGCTATCGCTTTTGCAAAATCTCAAAGGCTAGATAAAGTGCTGTGACGATCTCCTGACTTGGGCGTGACCTTTGATTTGCGGCCCTTTGGTGAGCATCATTTAGCTGGGGATCGTAAAGAATCGAAGGCCACTTCAAGAAAGGGGAAAGTGCCCTTTCATCAGCCAGGTTCGAACCCACCTGTCAGAAACGAGACAATCAGCCTTACCTAAGCTCAGTAAATGTATTGAAGCATTGATCTTCACCTCAGTTAGTTCAGTGACCCTGGAAAAAAGGGAACCCTTTTGGGGGAAGACCATTTTTAGTGGGCGCAGCCACCAAAAAAAAGAGGAAAATAATTGGTGCCACTGAAGAGTAACAGCCCCCGCGCGGCAGTACTTCTGGGCAGGCGAGAAGTAAAGGAACCACGACAAAGCCAGGGGCTTTCCGCTGAGGCTTCAAAAACAAATCTTGAACCACGCAAAAATCCGCAACTAGGAACTCCAAAGAAGCTGGTGAGTTCAGTCAAATTCAATCCCTAGTATCAAAGGTGTTGTAGCCGAAATGAACTCAGTGCCGGACTGCAATGCGGAGGCAAACTCTCTCTCCGCAAGCTGCGAGTCACTGAGTCGTGTTCCAAGCATTTGTTCCTCCGAATGGACTATGAATCAGGTAAGGAACCTTCAGCTGCCTCAGTCGCCTCGGCCTTCTCAGGCTCCCCGGTCCCCGGTCCACCACTTGACGATGGATGCCCCGGATGCCCCGGGTGGCCCACGCGGCAATCCGGTCGCACTGCCCGAAGCTCAAGATCGAAACCAGCCCAATAAGATTTGACTTGGAAACGGGGTAACGGGTCAAAAGCCAGAAACTTCAAAACAACCTCAACTGCCCCACCCTCATAAAAGGTGGGTTGGAGGGAAACAACCCTGAAATTGCGCAAACAGGGGCAACATGTCAACAATAACCCAAAAAAGTGGTCCCAAAAGCCAAAAAAAAAAAAAGAAGTCCTGAAAGTGCATTGCCACTCACCAATCAAGAATTTCGGTTGTGCTTAATCGCTTGTCTCGGAAGTTGTGTTTTTCGCCGGATGGGCTTAGCTACATCCAGAAGACGTAGGATTCACAAGGGAACCCCTTGATTTTCCCTCAGCTAGACAAAACGGGTGTGTCTAATTCTCTGAGGGAACCCCTTTGTTGGTGGTTTTCAGCGGAAAACAAACGGAACAACCACATTTGTTGGGAGTTCCCTCAAATGAAAGACAGGCACAACTTGTGAGGTTTGTAGAGCAACATGATCATACGTTGAATAAACCTACGATCTTCGCTTCTGGGCCCTCTCCTGCTTCTGCTCCGCGCTTAGCCAACTTTTGACCTGACACACCCGTCAGAGGTCAGTGGTTTTGGAGGGAGCGCCAGACGGGTACAAGGGGTCCATGAAGGGTTTGAAGTCGAAGAATTCAGTGGGTATCCAGGGTTGCCAACCAGTTTTCGTCGACCATCTAAGCAAATTCCCTCCAAAAAAGCATTCCTTGATGCAACACTTGGGTTCCCAGAAAGGCCAGAGCTTGGTTTCAACAGATGTTGCCAAGCCGCAGGGGGGAGGGGGCGGATACTATCTTTAGGGAATTGAATTTGAAGTGTGTTTCCTTTCAGCGTGATCTTCACAGGACACATGTTTGAAGACCTTTTGGCGTCTCCCATGCCGAGGCTTTTGTTTTTGAGGGATTTATGGCACTCCAAAGTTGAGAACTTTCCGCAGATCGCGTTGAGTCCACGTGGGGTCCGCCCTGAGCACCCTGTTTGCACTCGGGTGCAACGGACATTTTGGGGGAACTCCGCCACGGATCACAACTGGCGAGTTGTCCAGGTCTGCTCTGTAGCAATTCTGTCTTCAATGCTTCCGAAAAAGCTTCTGCCGTGGACTTCCGCAAAGGAGGCATCTGGTCTCACGAGTTTTGCATACTCGACTTCAGGAAAAGAGCCGCGAGATGCGAGCTGAACACCGCCATGGTCAAGCGACTTTCTGCCCCCCCGCCTATCAATCCAAAGGTTTTATTTATCCGAACCCCATTTCCAGTGATTCCAGTTCCCCGTACAGCCGTACAGCCAACCAAGGAACCCGGCAAAAAGACGAAACGGCAACGGATCGAAGGGATGCCAGCAAAACGCCTTTTTACCATAAACAAGACCTATGAAAATGGGGGTGGGAGGTGTCGGTTTGTTTTTTGGGGGGGGGCCACAAAAAAGCCCTCCCTTTACCAACTCCCAGAAAGAGAACACCTTTTTCTGGGAATGTCTTTCTTTTGGGGACTCGCAACATGGCCCAATGAACGGGGTCCCTTCAAGTTTCCCTTTCAAACCCAACGGGTTTTCCTTTAGGTTTCGTTTTAAAATGGCCCAATTCACGTTGGTTTCCTTTGGGCTCCCCCTGAAACTCCAACCCAAACCCCAGGACCTCCCAGCGCCCAAAAAACCGCCAGCTCGGGCGCCCGCCGCCGGCTTGGACAGCGCCTTCAAGCTCGCGTGGATCTCCGGCCTCGGCTCTCGACCCGTGGCTTCGAGCGCCGGACAGGTCGATCCGTCTTCGGGGGCGGTTCGCCGAAAACAGACCCGGGGAGAACACCCAATACCTGGGCTTTGTGAGGGTAGATCTTAAACACTGTAGTTTTTCGTTTTTCTAAGGGGGAACAAGATGGCTCCCTGCTTGATCAGTTGAAGCATACCCCAAAACTGCCGCCAAGGCAGCCAAAGAAACAGTTCGAGTCGGAAGAACCGGGTTCCCACCATGTTCAACATACCTGCAGGGCCCCATGCCCCGCGCACATCGCTGGCATTTATTCCGATCAGAACCATACAGCTGGAAAACCGCTACAAATTATCCCATCCCCTTCCGTTCTTTTTGGGGAGCACTTCAAATTCTGGGGCGTCCCTATTCAACAGGCAATTTAGCCCCAATTGTGCCTACCTTCACCTTCGCCTTATCCGTATGGAAACCACAAAAATGTCCCCATCTTGGCCCAGATTTGGGCACAGAAAGTAATACGCCCAGATGATGTTCATATTCGGTCTACCCTGAAGTATATCGGTGTTTTGGAGGAGACCTCTGCTAACCTTATGGAAACCCACAAACCCAGAGGACACCCCACTATACCAGGCACCCAGACAAAATCATGTAGAATCCAGAGCTTGAACAGCTCTCCTGGATACAGCAACCGGATCTGAGAATTGGATCCCAAAGTTTCTGGACCCATCATGGCTTCGCTCGTCCCGAATTGCTGAGCTCGCCATTCGTTTTGACCGGATCCAATCGGCCTGGGCATCCGGGCGCCGCCTGCCACACGGTAAGGTGCTCCAGCACTTTCTCGGCACTGCGGACGGCACTGCCTCAATTTCGCTCGGTTCGGTCCACGAGTCGGTTCAGAGGCACACGCGTGTTTTGTTCTTCTCGAGTTCCGACACTCCGGAAATCTTCGGGCTGATTGTCATCTCAGCTGCTCCATATTCAAAGAGCATGTTTGGCTTAGATCCTCTTCACCCTTGCCCAACAGGTGGCCACACCCAAACCCATCGGATGACCAACGCAGCAAACTACTCCCTCACGAGACTTTCTCGGCTCCCCCGCGCGTAGAGCTACTCGGCCTCGGGCGAGCCACGTACGGCTCGGCCGGTCGCTCGCGGCGAAACCTGGGACTTACTTCCTGCAAGATGACGCTGAGCCTTCCCTTCCATCCGCAAACATGGAGCCTGGCGTGTCGGGGTCCTGCAAGAACCTTTTTTCCCTTGAAAGGGGCCCTCTAATGGGTTCCTTGTCAGGAGGGCAACCTTAGCCAAGATGTGGCCATGGGTCAAAAACCCCACCCCCAAATGAACATCCCAATCCCCACCAAAATAGGTTCTAAATTCTAAACTGGGTGGTGAATTCTGACTTTCACCTACCCCCAAAATGGGATCCCAACACGGTTTTGACAACCGCCACGTCGATCCATGGGTCTCCCTGGCATCAACTGGATGGGCTGCACCCATCCATCCGAGGACTCGGCGTGGTGAGCTCCAGCGTCCGTGCCTCCGCGATCTCCGCCTTCAGCTGGGCCTTCGCTCTGAAGCCGCCGGCTTCGGGCTCCGGTCGGCGGAGGGGCGGGTTTTGGAGGTCTTGGGTTGCGCGGTGTTCGATGTGTCTCGGTGGCGAGACCTGCTCCCTGCGAAAAGTTGAACTTTTAGTGGTTTTTTTGGAAAAGCCGTTAGTTGGCAAAAAGTTGAAGTCCTGACATCCAAGCAAAATGCAACGGAGGTTTGGAGGGTTGGGCGAATTGATTTTCGGAGAATTCACCGCTATCGTTCAATTATGGAAAGCCAATCCTTTCCCTTGCTTTGGGGTTCGATCCATTTGAGCGCCCATTTCACCCATTGACGATTGGTTCTACAAGCATGCTTTTCAATGCTTATATGGGCATGCTGGTTGAACATCCACCCTCGCTCGACGACGTTTATCCCGGAGGAGGTGAACATGCCTTAATCAGGGAACTTGCAAACTATCATTACCAACGGGGCCATTCATCTCAAATTTACACCACCCACCGAAAGGGACACCCCCTATTGATCAATCAACCGCTCCTCAGGCAGGTTGGATCAGCCTCGCAGCTAGAATTGCAATGCAAAGAACATCGCCCTATCATAAACCACCAACAAACCCAAAAAAACGAACAAACAACCACATAACCAAACACAAACAACAAATGAGATAACAAAACAACAAGTCAAACGCAAACATCAACAACAAAAAAAGCAAATCAAAAAAACACATCAAACAACAAATCAAACAACACATCAAACACCAAATCAACAAAACATAAGTGTGTATATATATATATATAAAAAACACGTCAACACATGCCTGTGGGTCAAAAATTGGTGACCAAATTGGAACCCTGGCAAATGGACACATGGACTAACACCCGCGGTCCATATCCTGGTTTAATTTTGACCCAAAAACAAATCAAACAACACAAATCAAAGAACAAAAACAAAAACCGTCAACACAGCATCATCTCTTTGCCGCCCCAAAGCACCGCCTCCAACTCCGCCAGCTCCTGGGCGTGGCGTTGCTCGCTGCTCACATAGCCCGCCGCTGCCTGACGGCCCGACGGCGAAGTGAGCGGGTAGGTCCCGCCCAATGCGGCAGGAAACCCATGCCCCAGAGTGCAACACCCAGTGGATCATAGTGAGGACACTCAGGAATCGAGTTCCAGGATTTGCTTTTGAGGACGACGTTGTAGTCCTGCTTTTTTGAGGCCCCAACACAAACCAGGGTGTTGCGCCGATCCAGAAACCTGGGCTGCCCTCGGATCCCCCGCTAAAAGTTGAGAACTTTCAGCGGGTGAAATGGAAACCACCACTTAACACTAAAAGGCTTAAAAGAAAAAAAAATGTCCCAGGAGGTTCAACACCCATACTGCGGATGGGCGAAATCCATTTCGCGCCACCGTTCTCGGAAGCCCCGGTTTCGGTTGATTCCCCAACGTAAATACCAACCAACCATGGCTTCCCATGGCTTCTTCGGTGGTGCAGAAATTCGTCTTGCAACTCCTTAGGCAAACAAGAAGCATGGCCTTCAGACCCCATTTAGATGATGAAACTCCTGACGGAAAGCACTCAGCGTAGAATCCAATTTGTATTCAGCCAAATCGAATCAGATTTTCAGAGCCGACTCGCAAAAAAAGCCATTGCAGACTTGTGGTGACTAGTAACTAATAGTGGCCATTGGGGGTAACTGACTACGGACCAAAACTTATAAACTACTGAGGCTTCCCCCAAACAAAGGCAGATCAAGTCACTGCACTTGGACCCAACACCTTGCCAGTCATTCGCTTGCTATCGGGGTCTGGTACGGGGGGAAGCCATGGGAACATCGGGTTAAACCACATCTTTGACTGGAAAATGGGCCCAGTACGTCAACACAAAACATGTTGTGTGTGTGTGTGTGTGTTGCCCCTTGACCTGCGCATTCGCACAGATCACAGACGAGTCTTCTCACTATGGCCACGTGAGCCACGCCCAGTTTCCGGGGCCCGCAATCCCGAGCGCAATCGGCCCCACCCCTCTGCTCCAAAATCTAAGCCTAGGAGTTGGCAAGTGCAGAGGTTAATCTTCACCAGCTCCTCCACTCAAGATTCTTGACGCAAGTACTCTGCGCAAGTTTCTTGATGAAGCTTGTCCATGCAAGCTCCCCAATTCCAGTTGTCTAGTTTAGCTTCTCGATGCAAGACCTCTAGCCAAACACCTCTATGCCAGTTCTCTTTGCCAGTTTCTCTGTATAAGTCGTCTATGCGACACAACTTATGTTCGTAACTGTCCATGTCAGGGATCGACATCATGCGGACTAAAGACAAGTACATGGAGAGGAGGGTAGCTTAAGGTGTCTTAAGGGGCGTTCTGTAGTCAGAGATTGACACATCATACCCTCGCATCTGTTCAAAAAACTGGTTTCCGAAGTAAATGCCTCTTTCTTTGGTAGAGATCCTCAAATCTGCCGAGCCAGCATCTGCCGAGAGATCCAGCGGCCTCCTGCTCCAGAACTCGACGCATGGCCTGGCATCGGATCCTAGATTCCCTCGCAGGCGCCCTCGAAGGCTTATCCACCTTTTGTTAGTGTCCCTGTGACTCATCCCACTGGGGTAGACAGAACATATTTGTTAAGACCCAGTTTCGTATTTAGCCGACCATGCCAACCCCATGTAAAGTGGTCTTGGTGGAGACCCGAGAAGCCCTTCTATGAACCCCTAGCTTATTGGTTCACTGACCCCTAGCTATGAGCTAAGAACGGAAAATCCCCCGTTGGTTGATTGGCCATTTTACCAACTGACGGTCGGAACCAAAGTGCGGTTGGTTTTTTTCCGGCCCTATAAACCGCATGAAGCCATCTGCCATCTCCTAAAATGGCGCATGGGAACCGGTTTTGGGCACTTCCCAGTTCCCCAGTCCTATCGATGGTTCCACGGTGACCTCTGGTTGAACATCCAAACATACTGTCGACGTTCACGAGAGTTGATACGTCCCGATTGAAACCTTCGGGGCAAATGAACCGCCAAAGATTACTTACTAGAGGCAAGTAGAAATAACATGTTGACCCGCCCCTCAGCGCCATTCAACCCAAATGAACCATCCCCTGGCCTTTTTTATGACATGTGTGCTTTCGGGAGGGCGGTTTTGGCTGGTAACGCAAGAGCACTTTCGCACCACTCGTGGTTTGCTTGCTACGTTTGAACTCTGCGCGAGATATGCCGCAAGTCCCGAATCACTCGAATCCAACCGTTCAGTTGGTCCTTGCGAACCGTTTTTTTGGGAACCCAAGCATGACATAAGCGAGCAACCAAGATCTGCCTGTGGGTCAAAATCCAAATCGTACCCCCAGTGAACATCCCAATCCCAACTAAAATAGACTAAAATGGGTGGTGCACCTACCCCAAAGTGGTACCATTGGTTTTGACCAACAGCCATTTGGACTTTGACATGTTTCCCCTTGCCGTCGGGGCTTCTGTGGAGGAAGGGCCATCCACCAGCACCTCAGGGCGAAGGGGCCCAGAAGAACAAAGCAAAGGGCGTCCCCGACTCCAGCCAGGCTTCCCATGCCTTTAATACCTCCCTTCAATACCCCCATCCCGAAGCCTGCTGCAGAGCTTGCTGCGAGAGAAGGAGCGCCTCTACGCTGTCCTCGCTCAAAGGAACCCCGAAAACCTCACAACACGCAAACGTGTTGGGGAACGCTGTATCTTTTTGAGGGTAGCGGGGCCTCCAAGGGAAACCAACAGGGAAACCGTTCAGCCCATAGGTGGCCTTTTGGAAAAATAGATGGCCCGGGTAAATGGAATAAACCACACCTAAGCCAGTTGGAACCCATCTCATTTTTAATCAAACTCACCTAAAAAGGACAGCCACTTCGGGGTCCAGCCTACCAAAAGACGAGCCACCCGACGCGGGAGAAAAACACGCGGCTCCGGTGCTACGCTCGAAACGGAAAGGCTGTGCAGAGGGAAAGAGTGGCAGCACCAGAACCCTGTGTTGGTCGGTCAAAACCCTTCGTTCTTGAAACAACCCTTAAAGGGATATGCTCGTTTGTTCTTTTTTGTGAAGGTAGCCTTTTGTGGTTCGTGGGCACAAAAACTTGCAAGAGGCAATGGGGTCAACATCAGATACCTCCAGCGGAAGGTTGAGAGGCTGCGTCTATGAATTCACATGACCACAGCCATCCATTGCGTCCCCCCCCCCCCCTCACATTAGTCGCACCACCCCCCCCCCCCGCCTTTTCCCAATGACCATTGCTCACCTGCTCACCCCCTGAGCTGAGTGGGAAAACTGTCAATGCCGGTAGACCACCAAGAATTCTCAAAGTGCCAAGAATCTACAAATAAATGGTGTGATCATATCAGCCTTATGACTATGATCCCCTTGTACATTATCATCCTCAAGTGCCTTTACATCTCAGTTCTCTGGGGAAACCAGTCACCAAACAGGCAAAGCTTTCTGTGGGTGTCAAGGACCGAAAAGGAGTGCCCCAAGCCATAGACGACAACTTAAAGAATTGCAGGGATTCGCCAATCTGAAATAAGACATGGCGTCCCAACCAAACACCTTTGCCCCCTTAGCCCCCCTCCTCCTGGTTCCCCAGATCGAAAGCCAACCATTCTTAGGGCTCCCAATTCTAAGAAACACCCAAGCAAACAATGTGGCAATCACTAAGACGCGTTGTCCAGGGCACACTTTGAAGCAAAGCGTTGTCCATGTTCACATCATTACACATTTACCAACTGCAAAAAACAAAGGTGTGGGAAGTAGAGGGTACCTTGATTCTCAGCTACCACAGCGGTGAGACGGAGAGAGACAACGAGCGGAGGAAGGGGATGTGATGGCAGACAGGACTTAGGATGGAGAGATGGGAGATGATTCACTCGTTCCTCAACTGACTCTCTCCGTTCAACCGTTGGGTCTCTTCTTTCGTTCCCCCATTGAAAGGGCAACTTCCCCACTGGCCTCATTGTTTTCACCATGATCAAAGTCACCCCCTAAGTGGTGGGTTAAAGAGAAACAACCCCATTTTCTGACTTTGATAACCCCCAGAAACCGTCAAAGCAATGACCCCAGCCCCATGAGCCCTGGCTCGCTTTAGCGGCTCCTTGGACTGCTGCGACGCCAGGTCTTCCGCAATCTCCTGCGGCCGGAAGCCAGCCGAAGTCGGCCGCACGCCGAAGGGGTTTCCCTCGCCATGGCTAGACCACCCATGAAACATGTCCTGGGGTCATGACCTCCCTTTGCTTAAGTCCCCTGGAAAAATATATAACATATTTCCAGTAGTGATGGATTCCCATTAAAACCAACAGGGGAAACAAAAAAATGCTCTTAACCAAAACAACGATGATTATGAGTCAAGGTCCCGGTTTCTGGTTTCCGCTTCAAGGGTGACCTCGGCAAAAAATCATGGGGCCAGATTTACTTGGTCACGGAGTACCCCCCCACCCCCAGGCAGCCCATGGTTCACGGCACTGGGTAAAGCCGTGGTATACATGTATTGCCTTCTTTCCAAGGAAAATTGTCTTAGGACAAGAAGGTCATGCCCTTTTTGTTCGTTTCCCCTTGAACCAACCTGAAAAAGGTACCCTCAAAAAGAAGCGCACACTCTCACACACACACACATAAACCACACACGCACAGGCACGCACGCCTGCACGCGCCCGCACGCACGGAGCAAGGAACAATGCCTCCTAAAACGGAAACTGGGAACCCCGCAGCAAGCGATCTTCAGTATGGGTCGTGTTAACCCGCGCTTGTTGAGCCCGTTTTACTTTGTGCGCAACAATTGCAAGTCAGGGCGCCCTTCCTTGGTGGCTTAAATTGGTGGTTGGAAGGCGCTTCTTTTGTGGGGCTGTGCACGCAATGCTTTTCAAAAGGCTGCGTGGTGGCTGTCCCTGCTACCCTTTTCCCAACCCATTTCTTGGGGTGTCCCAAACATATTCCCGCAATTCGCAATTCAAAGGGAGTACTCCAAGCCACTATACTAGATTAAAATCCGGGTGTAGATACCCCTCTATGCGTCTGTGTCAATGCATCTGTGTCAAAATGGGGGACACAAAACGGTGGCTATCCTTTTGGTGCCCCTTAAAGCCCGCCTGAAAAGGGTGCCCTCAAAAACATCTGTAAGTATGTGTATATATATATATATGCATATACAGTACACATATGTATGTATACATACATATATATATATATATATGTACAGTACACATATGTGCATATGTATATATATATATATATATTATATATATATATATATATACATGTATGGTGGCTGTACACCCCCTACTTGGGTCCCGGTAGCTTCGGTTTTTGGTCCCCGAAGCTTCGGTCAGCCGTCCTGCTGCTCCAGATGCAACACGTCCAAATAGAGCACCGTGCGGAGCGTCTTCGGAAGTCCCTGAGCCGCAAGCTACTGCAAATGGGTGTGGCTCAAAATGAATGAACTAGGGTTACGCAGGTTTCAGTCTTAGGTTCCATTTACCAAGTTGCCATTTTGGTGCATGTTGTTGAGCCACAGCCAAATATCCGCCATCTTTTTGGGGGACCTGTTCAAGAAAAAGACCTGGTTGTCCAGGAGTCAGTTGCAAGAAGGAATTTCGGCGGCCCGAAATGAAGGAGAAGCAAATGGGGGCACCGCCCAGACCGCAAGATCGCTCCCGTGGTCTCGCTCGCTGCTTGAAAGGGAAGCCAAAAGGAAAGCATCCATTTCGGGGGGGGGGGGGCTATAGCCCATGAAACAAGCCCATCTGGGCGGATTCGTCCTTGTGTGTGTGCTCTTGCAGCACCTCGCACTTTTTAGGAAACGTGCTCAACACCCCATGAGTGACTGGCAACCGGGGGTGTTCTCACCCACTTTCTTGGATGTTCGAGCTGGAAATGCTTCACCAGAATGCTTCATGAGAAGTGAAACAACCAAGGGGATTCTTCATGACTTGATTCTATTGAAGTCTCGCTGCAGTCGATCCCCACAGGCGGCACAGTCAAAATTACTTGTTCCCGCAAGACATGGGAAAATTGGCCTCCTCTGGGTTCCGTGGTTGAAGTTTAGAGCTCGTCCCCTGCATGTCCCTCCAAAAGGACAATGCACTGCAGGCCCATTTGACCGAACCTTACCTTGTGATAAGGGAAACTACAGCATCTGCAATTTTGACAACGACTCCAAAACTTGAGTAGGGATCTACAAGTAATCTAGGGGCACCTTCCCCATTCTTTCAAGGGATCCTTCTTTTCAGGAAACCATGGGCAACAGCCGATTTTTGAAAAGAACAATGGTTGGAAAGAATGGACAAGGAATCAACCCCTAGAAGTAAAGGATCGATATGTCCCCCTCAAAATCACCCCACTGCAGAGGAAACTCACCCCAAAGCGGGCGTCGAGTTTTTCTGCGCCGTTCCTGGTCCACATTCTCGGGCACCAGGTACGTGGCGATCAGCAGCATCCACGCCTGGGAAGGAAGCGTGACCCTTTCTCCGAGACCAAAGGGCTGCGGTCGTCAAAACCGTTTTGGTTGATCCCATGGTTGGTAGCTGAATTCACCACCCTTTCTAGGCGTCCTATTTTAGTGAGGATTGGGATGTTCACTGGGGGTACGATTTGGGGTTTGACCCATGGCTAAAGTGGGTCGCTAAACCCAACTTCCTGGGTGATACGACCCCAAGAGCGATTCTTTTGCGCTACGGGACAACCAATCACCTCAAACCACAAGAGCAGACTTGGGCACGTCCGAGCTTCGTCCGGCGGGCATAGGGGGTCGCGGCATTCGATTCGAGCGCAAGATGCAACCAATCCTAGGGAGGATCGCAAAACAGCTCCCATTTACCAACCAAAAAAGGAACCAAAAAAGGAATGCCAAAAGAAGACGCCGGTTGGGTCCACGTTCCCTCACTTAACTGACACCACGGGATCAAAGGAAGCCCCTGCCTTTCGCGAGGCGAGCTCCGTGAATCCATGTCTTGGATACTCCGCAGAAGTAGTGTATACCCATGGCTGGACTCGTGAGGTGCTGGAATCCCCGAAAGCCATGGCAGCCCTTGGAACACCTAACGCCTCATGGAGCGACATGCTGAAGCTACTGGGGGCACCCGCTACATACCCCTTGGTCATATCACCCCACGGCTTCAGCCTCGGGAGACCACCCCTGGGTCCTTGAAGTCACTCGGCTACAATGGCTCGCTCCCCTTGCCCGTGACCCGAAAATCAGTAGAACTGACTGCTTATTGCGGGTTGGCAGGGGGGCCAAGGCATGCCAAAAAAAACGAGCTTGTTTCACCAGGGTTGAGCAACGTATGTTCGAACACACGGACCCTCCCCTTTCGAGATACACCAGTAGGATTTGCTTTGCACAATAGCAGCTTAAACAGTGGCTTAAACAGGAGTTTGGCCCAACCTTACCAACTGCTACTCGCTAACCTTGTGCCATGGTCGTGTGTCAAGGCGTCCATCACCACCCCACCCCTTTGACTTTGGATTCTGCCAGCATGACTAAGGTTTACTTCTTGGCTTCCCCCCAATGAAACCAGGGTACCAGGAACCGCCTGAACTGGCCAGCAGGGCTACCCCAACTAAACCAAGCAGAACCAAACAACCCAAAATCAAAAAGGCCCCAACACATCGGAAATCGCTTTGATGCAGCCCGAATCCCCGGCCGGGCCCCTGGCGCTGTGCAAAGCAAAGGCCAAGAGCGCAAAGAACTCCACAGTGCGTACCTCAACGCTTGGCCCCGGGTTTCCCATTTGGCCATGGGTCAAAATCCCGTACCCCCAGTGAGCATCCCAATCCCCACTAAAATAGACTAAACTGGGTGGTGCACCTACCATTGCTACCTTTCGACCCGCCTGGCAACCTTTCAATCTCCACAACCTGCGTACATTCTGTGACCTCTTGAACACTTGGTGGGTTGTCAACATGTTGGACCCCTTTTTGGAATCGTTTGAAGCCGGGCCCCAGAAAAAAAGGGCGCCCCATGTTCGACAACGCTTTGTACGTCTAAGCCCTTAAAGTGAACGCTTTCAGCTCTTGAAGCTACTTTGGGGCGGTCCAAAGTGAATGCGCGCAGTCGTGAAGATGTCTTCCCAAAATCGAGAGAGTCAAAGGGAGACCACAGGGAAACCATGTTGAGAGAGATACCCTAGATCTGCTGTCCAGTCAGCTTCAAATAGAAGATCTGGAGATTTCGTAGTTTTATCGGGACAAACACTTGTTTTGTGCAAGTACAAAGTCCTTTGAAACGGTACAGTCCGCAGTGGCCTTTTGTGAGGTGATGGAGATATCTCTATATATATATATATATATATATCCGTCTCCGACCCCTATGAGCTGTCGTGAACTCCCTGCTAAGTTGATGTTTATCAAGCAAGCTCCGCTGAACTGTTCTCACTCTTGAGCGTGGAGCCACTGAGATACTGTGCTATTGAACGTGGGGACAATCATCTTGGCGGCTTCCCCTAGAGCGTGGATTCGCCAAGAGGCTATGCCCTTGAACGTGGGAACCAGCAAGATGTCTAGCGCGGGTTCCCCTAGCCCGTGGATTCACCAAGAGGGCGAGCCCGCCAATGTAGCTATAACGATGCCTAAAAGCCGATGCCCTTGAAAGTGGCAACGGCGCCTTTAGGCCACCAGCTCATGCCTTCTGCTTTCGCCTCGCTGGGGCCTGCACCGAGAGGTGAAGATGAATCAGAACGCCTCGGGTCGCCACTGGTGCACGTAGTGGCCCACATTTGCACAGGACATGATATGCCCAGATTGAAGTTCATATACTCCAAACCGTTGGTTGGACCAACGAAACCTCTGGGAAAAAGTGGGTTCTGCAGGGTTGCTAACCCCCCTCACGCACCGAATCGATCACGAGCTGGAGATCCAAGACCTGTGCCATGGTCATCGAGTCGGCCAGTCTAAAATACTAGGGTTCATTTCATGACCATTCCCGCCCCAAGTCGAGGTGGTCCGCGGTGATCATGCGTGTTGCACAGAACCTGTTTGTTCAGATTTTGATTGGCCCTCACATGCTTTTCATTGAAACCCTAGCCAGTGCCAGTGGCCTGAAAGGCAAGCCAAAGGAACTTTTTCTGGGGTGTTCGCATTGTTTGATTCAACAGAGGCTAAAGGGCACTACTGAACATGGCTACAAAACACAAGGGTTCAGTGTTTGGCTTCCCATGGAATTTTCCAGATGATGAAACGACCCCATCCATTCCTTTCGGATCAGCCTATTGGAGGGGGGAAGGTGATCGTATTCCCTCCTCTGGCGGCTGGCCGGCTTTCGGCGGTCGGTCGGATATGACTGAAACCACCCCCAAACGCTTCGGGGGGAAACATGTGTTTGGAGGACACCCCAACGAAGTGTAGGTGCAACAACCAACCCCTACCCCATTGGGAAGCGTCATGGCGCTCTTGGCCCATTTCCTTTTGAGGCTCGGCCCACCCTTTTTGTACATTTCCCTTTTTAAGCATCACCCCAAAGTGAGGCGTATGCCAACCCAGACGATTTTTGTTGACACACACACACACACAACCATAGGTGGCCTTGTGGCAAAATAGATGGCCCTGGTAAATGGAATAAACCCCGCCTAAACCAGTGGAACCCATCTGTTTTCAATCAAACTAACCGATCAAAAGGACACCTATGCACACCAACACTCACTTCAAGCCCGAGCTGCCGATGTACAGCGGCGGAAAGGCCATGAAGATCATCCTCGCAGAAGCGCAGCGGAGGCCAACAAGCACCCCCGCGATGGTCACGGGGAATGGATACTTCAACCAAACAAGCCGGAAGGGGTCTGACAAGAAAAAACAGAAACACAAGAGCTTAGTCACAATTGAGGGAGTAAACCATTTGTAAATGGTTGGCCCCTTTTATGACTATAATCCAAAACCGAACTCTTTTTGCAGTATCCTAGTGATTCTCCCCTCTTGCCGGAAAACCCACAACACACGTTGCCCTGAGAAACCCAAATAGAAACGAGCGGTGTTTGTGGACTCTCATGGGGCACAAAGGTCTAGGGCTTGTTCAGTGGAAAGTCCGGAAATGGACCCAGTGTTGGCAGTCGTGACTTGAAGAGATTGTGCAAAAGCCCAGTTGAGGGGTTGGCCACGTCTACCAACCTCAAAGGGCGCAAACTGGCCACGGCTCATCTGTTCCAAAACGAACACCTTGGTTGCCACCCACCCCGTCTTGATCTAAGTTGACTGGCCAAGTCCAAGCTGTCCGGACACGGAAGCGGTGAGGTTCCCTAGACCCCAATCACGGCCCCCCTCGCGCCCATTTTGGAGAAACGGACATCCAACTTGGCTGTGGGTCAAAACCAATGGGATCCCATTCTGTTGGTAGGTGAATTCACCACCCACTTTAGAACCTACAGTGGGGATTGGGATGTTCACTGGGGGCTAACCGATTTGGATTTTGACCCACAGCCACTTGGAGGGCCCAGCGGAGCAAAAGGACGCCGGGGAGCCCCAGCACAGTGAAGACGCCGCACCAGGATTGCACGCCTCCGCCCAGAGAAATCGCACGGGGGCCCTAAGGAGCCGGCAAGGGCCCAACGGCGGTTCAATAAAACCTGGGGCCCGTTGGCTTTTCCCCGGCAACTGACTGTTAGGGCAAAGTGGTCTGGACAGCGTCAGCAACTTGGCGATGGAGGGTTCAGGCTTGCAACGCATCCTCGAACTCACTTGGTACCCAAAAACATAGGCCCTCGTCAAGAACAATGACTTAAAACTTCTGCCTCGGCAAATGCCATCGAAAAATTGCCATGCCTCGGCAAATGCCATCGAACAAATGCCATGCATTTGCCACGTGAGATTACAACAATGCACTCATACGTGTCCTTTTTGAACAAATAGATGGTCCTGGTATAATGATTGAACTACCAGGTGAACCAGGGCCCTCTATTTTTCAACCAAACCAATCAAAAAGGACACCTATGAATGCACTGCTCTGCCAGCAAAATACCAAGCGCCGAACCGCATGGCCTCCGGACAGGGGCCCTTGAAGCCAACGAATCAGGAAATGGACCCGGAGAAATTCGAGGGGAAAGAAGCTGTGGGCACGGTACGGGAGAACTGGGTATTTGGAGGGCTTGTTTTGTGAAGTTCCGGCGGGGTCCAATCCATGGATTTTGGTTGACCTCTTCCTTGGTTGCAGGAAAATGTGGATCCATACTATCAAGCACTGCAGATCTCACAATCAATCCACAACCTGAAAAAAGAGATGCTTAAGTAAAGAATCTACATCACGTTGCTGTTTTTCCTTTTTTTTCTCATGACCCTAGCACCCTGTGGATGGACAAACTCGCGCACCTGGTAGGTCTACCCCAGTCTTCATAGAACGCCATCAATTCCAACTCATCCCCAGCATTTGCCCCGGGCTGCTCTCGGTCACCGGCCTTCAGCCATATCAAGGCGAAGTAGCAACAGAGACCTCAGATGTCCGCAGCATCTACCCCACCATCCAGGACCAAGACAACCTACATGGTGGGTTTTGCGTTTGGTGTGCCTTTGCAGCAACCTGAGAAGAGTACCCTCAAAAACTTCAAACCCAAATCAGGGAGCCCCAAGCAAAGGCCATACATGGATTTTCGCTTGTTTTACCCCCGAATCGGTCCCTCCAGGAAGGCTATAGACCAAAATTGGAGCGGTGTTTGGTGGTGTGCGTGTGATTGTTCGGCGGGAGGGGTAGAGGAGCAGTTTTATGACACACTGACACAAAGCGGGCGCTCTTGGGCACAAGCAAGTGGGGCAGGAAACAACGAGTTTGTTCAAGAAGTGCACCACATGGATTCCGAACCCTAAAGGCTTTGACAGGTGGGCGTAAAACAACCGGTTTGTTGAGGATGTGAGCCATGGTTGAAACTTCTTATTTGGCCATGGGACAAAAACCCGTACCCCCAGTGAGGTTCTAAAATGAGTGGTGCACCTATCCCAACATGGTACCATTGGTTTTGAACCATGGCCATATGGCCTATGGTCATGGTTCTTTGGATCCTCAAGGTGGATGACCATCTCTGCTAACCCCCAAGTAAAGCGATCGATCCCACCCCGCGCTCGGCCCACGTAGACATGGCCTCCCCAAAACAAGGAGTCAGGCCCAACCCCTTCTGGCAGTCAAGATTTGGCTCCTTTTCTCCCAAGTCTGCCCTTAGCCACGTCACCTGTTCAAAACCTTGGTTGACGTTGGAAGGGGAGCAAAAACTTGAATTTTAGCGGTTCAGTCGGGATTTCCCACTAAACCACAATAAGCAAAGATGTAAAGTGTTTCCCAACAACAACCATGTTTTCTTGGCAGCAAGTCCAAACCGGGGGCCGAATACTCTCCCCGACACGGAGCCCAAATAGCCCTACGTTTGACAGGAATGACCAAACATCCCATGGTTTCGAAACGGAATTGGGATCCATGTCGCAACAGCCCAATGGCCTTCACCCAAAGAGACCCGACAGTCAAATGCTTACTTTCCGTGTTTGCCTTTTGGGGCCAGTGGTTGTTTTTGGATGTTTGCTGTGTTTGTTGTGTTTGTTGTGTTTTAACATTTTGACACTTACAGACCAAAGGAAACTGAAAAGGAAAGCTCCGGCCGATGTCTCGCCACGAAGACTCCGAGTCACGGAGGGCCGACCGAGTGCCGCGCAGGACTTGCATGCCCAACAGCGACAGCGCCGCTCCCGCTGGTGTCTACGCAGGGAGCGTGTAATTCAACGGATAAAACCGTAAGGCTGTATATACGAGGGAAAAAACAACAGGAAGTAGAACCTATTAAAACGGCCAATGTTTGCTTCGGATCCAAACAAGGAGCGTGCTAATCAGGGGCAGCCCAAGCTGAAGATTACATGTGATTCCATGGGTTTGCAGACCCCAGCGAACGGGTTCCCAAAAGAACCGCAAAACAAGGAACGCCCCTCCTGAGAGTCTGGCTTTCAAAAACAGCGCTTTCACAAAAACAAGGCTGGCAAAGAAAACCTACCAGACAAGGGGTGAGCTTTTGGTTATTACGCTGGGAAACGGAAACCAAGGACCGCCTCATATCCACCCTTGACCGATAAAGGAGGCCAACTCGCCTCGAACATCTACAAGACCAGGATGGCCGTGTGTCAGAATGCACATTTTGCAGCAAACAGTTTGTCCCCGACCCCGAGCTCCATCACTACGAACCTGTCTGTGCCAGGTTTACACGAAGAACTTCTGTCGAGTCATCATCTGATTCCATCGAACTGCTTGCTCATAGCTCTTCATCGTTCTACTTCACGTGGCTGCTTTGCCGCAAGGCTCCTTCTTGCAGTTCGGAGTCCATGTTGGCATCCTTGCACTGTTTTGATGAAGGAGTCGAGGTGCTGGACGGCTCGGGATCCGCTTGAAACCGCTGTCAAGACCTGAGCCACCGTCCAGCGACCGCCTCCTCGGGCTCATCATGGACCAACTCTGCGCGCACCGTCGAGGTCGGAACGACCGCCTCCGACCGCGTTGACCATGTGGGCCATGGTCAACACTCCTTGGCCTATGGTCATGGCTCCCGAAAAAAAGGGTTAGTCAGGGTCCGCCCCTTTTAACCCCAAGTGAAGGTGTCGACCATGGCACACGCGGGAAGAAACTTGGGAAACCTGTGGCGGACAGCTCGCGGAAGGGGACTTGCCTGTTTTTTCCAAGGTAAGTTCGCCTCCTTGCAATCAGAGATGGGGGGCAACTCTGGTGAGGCCACATTTCCCCGAATAACATCACCAAAACTCGGCTGCTTTCTGCTCCCCTGCTGAAAGTTATAATGTTTAGTGGTTTAATGGAAAACCCATTAGTTGGCAAAAAGTTAAAGTCCTAACATCCAAGCAACATGCAACAAAGAAAAGGGAACCCATCTGAACTTGGCTCCAAGTACCGCAAGGAGACTCGGCAGGAAGTCGCGAGCCCCGTGGCGCTAAGAGTTCTCTTCAGTGGACTCTTCACATTGAAGTGGAACCGAAAGGAGATGCCTTCCAAGGGATTTTCTGGCGTCCATGTTGGAGATGCCTCAAGGGCTGATGAAATCTGACCCCCGTCTTTCTACCCAAAACCCCGGAAGAGGGCGTTTACCCAACTGCCGCGAGAGGAGTCTGGGAGGCGCTTCAGCGGTAACCGGTGCGCTCCGGCACACAAAATGCTGAATCCACGTGAGACAGACGGGGGACCCGTCAGATCTTCGAAGACATCAATGTCCAGATTCCGCTTGTTTCGACCAATGCGAAGCCAGCATTCCCAACCAAGTACCCAACTTCCCAGCGAGCTCAAAACCCCAAATACTTTTCTTTGGGTTGCCCTTTCAGCAGGTCAACAAGGCGCTGCCACCCGCATCTCACCCTCCCAGGGTCGACCGTCCGGGCAGTCGTGGGTTTTGTTGGGGCACAAGGGCTCCTGGGCACATCCGACCGTTGCTCATTCGGATCTAAACAAAAAAACTCGCCTCCTCTGCTATAGAGCCCAGGATGTAGTAGGACAGCGCTTGCAACATCTGGTTGATCCCTGCCAAGGACACAGTTCCACCTTCCTGACTTCGTCCAACCCGTTTCCTGACTCTGTTTCCTGACTCGCCCCTTACCCGTTCCACCTATCCCTCTTTTGGCGGGTGTGTTTTGCGAGGCTGGGTAACCGTCTTGGCGTGACCGTGGCAGCTATCATCTGCGTTTCCTTTTTGGACGGAGCATCTCCTTGGCCAATTGAAGTGGGCCTCCTTTTGGCCAGGTACTCAACCAAAATCTATTGCCCCAACTCCAGAGTTGCTGAGCCGACCCGTGGCCCAAAAAAGGGAGGAATTCACGGAAAACTGAGTGTTTGGGCTAGGGGGAGAGGGTTGTCGCACTGTGGGAAACATGTAGTAGCCCTTATTCGCCAGTGCTGAAATATGAACAATCCTGCTCTTGGGGACAGTGATTTGCCAGAAAGAGAAAGAAGAGAAAAGCAAACACAAAGAGAAAGAGAAAGAGCAAGAAGGGAAAAAGAAAGAGACAGAGACTCAGAGAGCAAAAAAACGAGAAAGCGAGAGAGAGAGAGAGAGAAGGAAAAAGACGACGAGAAATAGAAAGAGAACTATAGTGCATCTATTGTTGAAACGTCCGCCAACCGGCTTCGCCGGCTTTACTGGCACAAAAACCAGTAGAAGGTATACCCTACTCTCAATACCAGCTTGGGTATGGTGTCCTCACCGAAAACCATGGTTTTTTCTTCAAACCATACCCCTGAATGAGAGTCTACTTCAGCAGGGTAGAAAAAGGCCCACTGGGATGGTCCGGGACAAATTGCAAAGTGAGCAATTCATGGTTGCAACCCACCAAAGCCATGGTTGTAAGTCTCCTCTCCGTGAGCACTATGGTTGCTAACCACTTCGCGTTTCGTCCCAGACCATCGTAGGGTGTGGAAACCCTTCCCCTGCCCTGCACTGCTCCGAACGCTGGGTTTGTGGATTCCTTCCCTTAAATTGTCGGGCTAGCAAACCAAAATGTCCTCTTGGGGCGACTCGGTGAGACCTGCGCCGCCGCCATGCGCGAACGCGCCCGCGCGCGCGCGTGCCTAGCGCCATGCACACGCGCGCGTAGGCGTCGTAGAAGAGCCACCGCCGCTGCTCCTCGCATCCGGGACAAAAGCGCGGCAGTTTTTCCCATTGACTCAACTAGGTCCTCCAGTAGAGAGGACCTAATAAGGGTACCCTTTTTCTGTGGTCTATTTTAGCAGGAAGACCCTCCCCCAAAAAAGGGTGAGGAAGGGCACTACTGGGGGTCCGTTGACTCGAGCACCATTTTCCACAATGGCATCACCAGTTTGCAGTTCACACACTTCCGATGGAATCGCCAGAGGCCAAACCTCAAATTGGCGGATTTTCTGCACCACCCAAAAAGTGCGGACTTGCCACCTGAATTTGCTTGTTACCCACGGAGCTCGAAAAATGAAGAAAAATACACCCACCAATCAACCAACCAACCAAGCAACCAACCAACCAACCAACCAACCAACCAACCAACTAACCATCCAACCAACCCCCAAAAACAAAACTGCTTTTGCTAAGCCATGATCTCAACCTTTGATCAGCCGCTCCTTCAGGAAGCGCCGGAAGTGATACTCGCGATCAGAGAGGGCCTGGCGATCAGGGATGGGATTCGGTCGGCCGAATCCGAATCGAGCCGAGTTAGCGTCCAGACACACGCGGTGGTCGTTTTTGAAGGGAGAAAAGAAAAGCCTCAAACACGGCCGGCTCCAAAATTCTCAGGTAATTTGGGCCCCCGGCCTGGGAAAATACCCCCATTCCCGAGCATCAAAAGCTCTTGATCTAGTCAATTCCGACCCACGCTTAAGCTCCCATCAGAAATACGTATTTTCTTTAGGGGATGGCTCGTTGATGCAAATCTCCTCCAGATCGTTAATGAAGTCCGGGCTCGGCGCCAAGGCGTCAATGGATTTCTCCACCAAGAGCCGCTCCAGGAGGTAGTATTGCAAATTCGAACTCCCGGGGATCTGATAGTTCTTGCCCGATAGTGCGTGAGCGATACGCCACAGACGGTCATTCTCAGTCACCAGCGCGCCTGCCGCCTTTCGAATCTCGCTCACTTTGTTGGCAATCGTACCTAAGTCCCCTTTTCCACCATGGAAAGCTGCATCACGGTTCACGCACACAATGACCATGCCCCTGCATACGTTGACGAGGTCTGATATCGCCTTTGATAGGGAGTCAATGAGGGGTCTGGCGGCCACATGCCACTCATTTCCTCTCATGTACATCCACTCCGAAAATGGGTGATGTTCCTTTTGGATTCCCTTTACCAACACGGGTTTCCTGTAAAACGAGACACTCCCAAATACTTCCTGCTAGCCCAAAGTGGATACCGGCTTTGGATGCCCGGCTTGATGGCTCAAAAGCAATTGGCAGAATGCATCCGCATTCTTCCTTGGCAAGACCCTCACCAGGAAGCAGGGGAAACCTGTTGCATTGATGGCAGGTCAACATGAGCGTCAAAATGTGCCGATACGTGCTAGCCAGTTCTGAAGATCCGCGCTTCGGCCACAGGATCCAACGGATAGAAAGAGAGGGGCTAGGATGAGTTGAACGCTGGAGTGTTCGAAGCTTAAGCTTCGGCGAAAAGAGTCGGGATAACTACCAAAATCTCCGGTCGATCCCAAAAGGCGCCACGGTCTCATAGAAATAGTCAGCTTCCCTCCAAGTCGGTTTGAATTGATGGTTTGGGGGTTCAGGGGAAGGTTTGTTGCCATTTACCCTCTACAAACACCAAGGGTTCACATCCCCAAACCACCAATCCAAACCACGAATTCAGGGTAACCTGAGTTAGGATTTTGTTGTTTTTCCAGGACATGTGAAAACTTGTTTGGCCAGCCTTGCCGGGTCACAAAGGGAACAGGGGAACCCAAATGAAAAAATGCTGGGCCTACAAGGTGAGTTCAGCCCGATGTTTGGCATTCCCCGTCTAGAGACGGACAGACTGATCTGTGGGCGTGCATGGGAAAAAGCGGGTGCACTCCAAATCAATCGGGGGGACGGGACGGGAAACCCCGCTGAAGCCTCCTGAAAAAAAAGAAAAGAAAGCACACCTTGCTGGTCTGGGGATTTGTCATGGGGCTCTGCATGGAGGAAAACCCTCGGGGCGGTTTATGGAAGCCAACCTGAAAATCACGAACTGAAATTGCGGAGTCGAGTCCCTATCCCTATTTTCAGCTTTCAATGGGAGACTTGGAGCCTGGTGGTTTCGTGGTCAAGGTTTCCCATTTACCCTCTACAAGAACCAGGGTTCCAATCCAAATCCAAACCACCGAAGGTCCCCATCAAAGGTTGCAATTTATCGGTGAGTTCAAACCAACCTGCCGCTGGATGTCCAAAAGGGGAAAATTCAGAGACCCAAAAGGACGGGTTCCCTGAGATGTCGAGACCCAAATCCTGCCTTGGCACCTTCCTGAATAGCCAGGCTCCTCGGGGCGAGCGCCGACTGCCCGTGGAGCTGTTTGCGGGACCAGGACCCCTTGTTGCTTACAGGATCTCGCAAAGCCAAAACCGGCGGTTCCCTTCCAAACATCAAGCTTTTAGGCTCTCAGTTGTTCAGTGACCCTACAAAAAAAGGTAACCCTTGGGGAAGACCATTTTTAGTTGGGCAGCCACCAAAACAAAAAGTGCCACTGAACAACTGAGGGCTTAATCACCTAGAGGAAAGGGGGGTTCTTTGATATAGAGTCAGTAGTGTAAAGGGAAACCACCAGATCTCACACCCATCCCCCCCGGCCCCCGGCCCCCCGAACAAAAAAAGAAAGCATCATGAGCTCAGTGGGGAGATACAAGCACCTCCCAACATAGTCCCTTCGAGAGCAATTTCTTCCGACAGGGTCCTGAAGGCTTCATCCGACAATAACTACTTGAGAAGGGGTGACACGAAAGGTAGGATACTGTAAAGTGGTAATGAAAGGAAGGGCGTGCATCGAATACCATTCAGGTGCGCATGGAGCTCGACAGCTCGACTGTGCTAAGAGGCAATGTCCGTTCCACGAAAAGGGGAAGTACTTGTTGACCATGCAAATTGGGCCCTCACGCAGCGAGCAAGGGACAAGGTGCACCGTGACTTGACCAGCAAAACGGTGCTTGTCAGCCGGCCGAAGTGTGAAGCGAAGCAAGCGAACAGAGCGGAAAGAGGAGCGGAGCTGCCAGGGGGGGGGGGCCAGATTTCATTGGTTTTGCGGCCGGGCCGACCAGACCCCCTCAGTCTAGCCTTAACGCAAGGACAAACTCAAACTAGCCTGCTTGAGGCCAACAATCCACAGCCTCACTTTAGCTTCAGCCCCAGGGACTCCGCAAAACTGCACCCAGCCTTTCGGAACAGGGAGCTTTCAAGAGGAGACCCGGCAGGAAGGCCACATTGAGGTCTACCAAAACATCATCCGGCTCGACCTGCTTTGCAAATGTTCAAAGGGAAACCAAAGGGCGACCAATCACTTTTTTGGGCCCCCAGCTTAGAAAACCCATTTGTCTTGGTCCCTTTGGCACAATCTCGACAAGAAATGCCAGCTTCGAACTGGGTGTTTGGCCAATCCGAATCCTATGCCGCACATGTTGAGTCGGGCCCGTGCAACCTCATCTCTTCAAACGTGGATTTGAGTTCGAGTCCGACATGCCATAACCCTTAATTCGTACCCAAAGGAGTAACCAAAAAGCATCTGCCTCAAAGTCGGGGAGCAAATCGCACAGTAATTATTGCATGGTCAAGCAACTCAGTAAGTAGGCTATAACCAGGGTTATACTTGTGGTAGCAAAAGTTTCTTTCCTTATACCTATGGCTATAACCTACTTGCTAAGTACTTTGAACACCCAAGTTGGCGACACCACTGGGTCTTTTGACCACGCTATGGCCGGGGTCTCGGCGGGATAGTCCTGAACCTATTCTAATTTCTCCCCTGGGTCGATTAAAGAGATACATTTTGAGGACTCAAAATGAGTCTCTTCGCGTCGCTTTTTTGACTTGAGGTTGCTGACCAATGGTAAACCAGTTTTTCAGGGCTCTGGGGAGGCTTTGAAGGGTCGCAGCCGGGACAGAGAACCTTCCGGAACCTCGGATAGGAAAAAGCGCAAAGGCTTTCGTCTGGGGAAAATGGGAACCGCATGGAAAACTCAACCCAGCAGTGCCTACACCCATTGACGGTGGTTTTTCTACGAACATGGACAAGCGGCTAAGGTTTGCAAAGGCTTTGCTATGAACCCAACTAAACCAGGTAGAAACCGCAATGCCTACTAAAACCGGTCTCCCTATATTTCCCCCTTACACATCACCAACGCGCTGGTCCAAAAGCTTGTCTTTCAAGTGGCAAAGGGAAACCTGGTTGCTCCGAGCCCCCCGAGCCCCGGTCCTCAGACACGGAGCCCCACCGGGGGTCTCACTTTGGAAAGGTCGAAGGGGGGACTCCGTCGCACCACAGACCGGGAAGAAGAAGGAACACATCAAAAAACCAGTCTGGGGCCCCTAAAAAAAGGCACGCCCAAAGAAAAAAGCCTTCTGGGCCCCTAAAAACAACGACACACCCAAAGAAAACACCCTTCTGGGGCCCCCAAAAAAAACAGCAAAACATTCTGGGGCCCCCAAAAAAAACGCCGCACCCAAAGGAAAACCATTCTGGAGCCCCCCAAAAAAACACCCAAAGGAAAAACCATTCTGGGCCCCCCAAAAAAAACACCCAAAGGAAAAACCATTCTGGGGCCCCCCAAAAGAAACACCCAAAGGAAAAACCATTCTGGTGCCCCAAAAAAAAACACACACACACACACACACCCAACAAAAAGTCGACTCTTCCTGGAGCCCCGAGCTCTACTTCAGTGCTCAGCCCGGCTGCGGCCCTGAGGCGAGACTGGCAGACCCAGTCTGAAGACCTGGCCCTTTCTTGGGGGGTTCGGTGGTTCTTTCTACGGGTTAAAGGGGGTGGTAGGGTTTTTAAGGCCTAGGGTTGTAGGGTTGTAATGTGGTTTTAAGGGGGGGGGGGGGGGTAGGTTGTTTTTTGGCCAGGAGAACAACCCCCCTTTAGGACAACCCCCTTTACACCCCCCCCTTTAGGCCAGGACAATCCTTTGTTCTGCGGGTTGTAGGGTTTTTAAGGTCTTTCGGCTTTGAGGAAAACATGTCCGGTGACTTGGACATAAAGATATTGAAAAACGCTGGTATTTGGAGGACGAACACGAACTGCAAGAGGGTTTTGCAGGGGGGGAAGCTGGCCTTTCACCACCCAATTCCCTGAATGTCGCTGCCGAAGGTGTTGGGCCTTTCTTACGGGCTTGTTCACTAAATATTGGAACCCCCTGAAAATGTCTAGTTTCCTTTCAGTTTCACTCGAAACTCATCGAAGCCAAGAGCTAGTTTCAGACATACCCAAATTGTTGCAGATACGGTAGGCCCAGCTTGTTGTGGGAAAATCTGGGTTGGGCCAACAATTTGAAACCAGTTTTAACCACTGCTGCTTGAACATCGACTCCTTGCCCCGTACCGGGAAAGAATGGTCGGAGTGAACCAGGTTTGCTTCCCAACCCAGTATGCTAGCAAAGGAAAGCGTCGTGTTCCCCATGTGAAGCTGAAAACTAGCATCGCCCCAAAGCAATTTCGCAAGCATGGGGCCAGCCTAATTTTCACGTCGAGCTTGCGCTGCTCTTCGCTGAGTGGCTTCCACTGTGTATCGAATGCACCTACCAGTGTCCTGGTTGATAGACACCAAGTCTGCAAGTTTGCGCACTCTGGAGAGCAGCACGTGGATAGTCAAGAATTCACATCAGCAGAGCTTCTCTTTGCAAGATCAAAATGAGCAACCAGGCCTGGTGCCGCCGTGGCGCCTTGAAGCGAGTAGAGGCTGCAAGTTGTCCGGCAGTATCAAAAATCCAGCTCGTTGAGCAAAACACGGTCAAGTCAGCTTCCCTCTAATTGGTTTGGATTGGTGGCTTGGTGGTTAAGGAGGGGTCTTGCATTTACCCTGCACAAGAATCAGGGGTTCAAATAACCACCAACTAAGGGTTTCGTGATTAAGCTTGCTTGCCGGCGCAGCTGCACGACGCCAACAACTGTCATGAGCAAAAGCGCTTGATGCGGTCAACAACTGTCATGAGCAAAAGCGCTTGATGCGGTCAACAACTGTCATGAGCAAAAGCGCTTGATGCGGTCCGCAAATTATGGTACGCTTGCAAATGTCAGTGTTGGTGCTTCTGAAGCGGAGCCATCTTTAAAAAATGACAGGGACAAAATAGCATAACAAATAACAAGAGAAGAAAACAAAGAACCAACACAAAAGAAGGAAAAAAACAGGGGAAAAGCTGTGAAACTCGAGGACCTCCCGCTACCCTGCCGTCAAACAAGCCGCAAAGCCAACCCACATCCCAACGCGCCCTGTGCCGAACCCCGAATCCAGCTTCCGAACTTGGCCGGCGAAAAAGAAATTTCGCGCTGTGGGCCTGTGGTTATCCCTTAACCTCCCAGCTTGTCCACCAGAGGACCCCACCATCCCATTCTAACGAGGGGTTTGGGGCAGGGTTGGGGAAACTAAACCTTTGGTGTACTTTCAAGGCAAAGCAAAAAGAGGTTGCTTAAACAAGTGGTTTCAACGTGTTTTAATCACCATGTACTCTGGGCCACAACTTGTGCGCTGGCCTGGCCAGCTGCGCTGTCTCTCGCCGCAGCAACTGGCTCGGATACGCCAGGCTTTGATTGAGCAACCCACGTGGAACGGACCTCGACTAAGGCCAAGGTCAACGGCGAAATGAGATTTCGCCTGCAGATCGAGGACTTGAATCATTGAAGGGTACCCAAGTCTAGCAAGCGGTTTGGATGCGCTTTCTCTGGATTTCACCTGTTCTTCCCCTGTTGCTTCCTTTTCAGTACTCTGTTTGTACTCTTTTAAAGTCCTAAGGTGTGTGGATCCCCAAAAGCCGCATCCAAACCGTGTTCTAGAGCAAGGGGTTGAGAACATACCCCGACGTGCCCCTGTGAGTCCAAAAACGTTCTCATGGTTTTGCCCCCCAAGAGCTCGCCATCAGAGAGTGGAAGCGGCCGCAGTTCCGCGTGAAACTGGGTTCGGATCCCAAAACCAACAAGAAGTCATGACCCCCAGCAACCAAGAGAGAACAATGGAAGGAACGGGCAGGCGGGAATTCAACAAAATAGCGAATGTTTGAGCAAGTCCCGCGATGGAGATCCTATTCAGGGAGGGAAACACTGGTAATACGAATCTGGAAGAGTCCGCGGATTGTAGAAATCAAATTGTGAATACATTTTTCGGAAGAAAAAAAGGTAGAAACAAGTGGAAACCAAGCAAAGAAAATCAAATTGATATCCTATCGAGACAGTTTACGTTTCGTACATAACACAAAAGACAACCAACCAATGAAACGGACGGTCCAAACCAATCCATCCACCCAATCCAAATCAATTTTCAACATGCTGGCCAAAGTCCACAATGGAAAAGCCCCGCTTGAACAATCCTGCCGAATGACTCTGGCACACCTACAGCCCCGGTCACCTCATGAAACGACAGCGCCCGTTCTAGCGACGCTTGATTCAAAGGCTGGTTTCCCTGAAAAAAGGGGGCAAAAAGGGGCCTCCCCCACTAGAGGGTCTGGGACACGGGAAATGAGTTGCTTTTTTTAATGGGACAACAGGGTCCAAACATTCTTTGGGAGTTGGGTGTGATATTTTAATGGGGACCCTCTGATGAACATCATTTAGGTGGCGATTTATGTCCACTAACCAATTTAGACATTGTTCCCAAACTAAAATTCCTCGCCAAATGGGATCATGTACCCATGAGACTATGCAGGGTATTGTCGAACTGCTGGCTGTCGCCCCATAAGGCCATCGTCCCTATGTCCAAAAGTCGTCTCTTCAGCGTTGCTCCAAGGCACAGATCGAGCAAACGATCGATCGCCCTTTGCAAAGAGAAAGCCTAAGTTGTTTCCAAAGGGTCGACGGAAGCCTCCCATTGATTTTGGAAGCCTCCCATTTGAATCCTTTGCTCGTTGGCAAGTGGGTAAAATGCATCACCGCCCAGTTGCTCCCCAAAATAAACTTGCTGGTGCGATAGGTAGGGAATGAAGGAAGGAACCCAGGGATCCCCTCAAAGGAAACCATAAGGGATGGTTTCTCATGGGGTCATTCCATTTCTCATTCCCTTCTGAGCACCGCCCCCCAAGCCACGAGTCCCGCCTGCCGCTGTTCCTCCTGCTCCGCGGTCCCCTCCTGCGCCTCACCGCTCCAAGGCGTGGCTCAACAGGAACCTGGGTACAGGGTTCCGTTTGTTGACCCCAAGGTGGACTTAAACCCAGCAGGTTCCCTTGAAATCGACCAGCCCCGGGTTCAAGTCCGCGGGTTGTCAAAACCCAAATCGGTTAGCCCCCAGCGAACATCCGATTCAATCCAACCACTAAAATAGGTTCTAAAATGGGTGGTGCACCTATCACAAAATGGTACCATGGGTTTTGAACCATGGCCATGCGTCAAAAATGGTTTTGGACCCCCAGAAAATGTGAGCTGTTCTTTGGTCTGCCTTGAAAGCCAAAAGAGAGGGTTCCCGAAAAAAGAACAGACACACACAACCATTTGACTGTGGTTTCCCAAAAAGCAAGCCTCCGAACAGAGGGGGAATAACATTGGTTCCACGAAGGTACGCTTGGCTACGGGTCTGTTGACAACAAATAACTTGGCCTCTAAAGCAGAAGTCGAAATTGTCCATGGCAGCTTTGGCAGGGCATTGTTTTTGGGCTCACCTACCAACCAACCAGTTGGACAACCAACTCACGACGCAAGCAAGCCAGCAAGCAAGCACGCAAGCAAAAAATGCGAGCACTTGGAGTAGGGGCAGGGCAGACGCAGCTATGCCTGAGGTTGCCGAAGCCGCACCGAACTGACGGAGCAATGACGGAACGAAGCCCAGTTGGCTTTTGAGGGCACCCTTGTTTGGCAAAACGGTTGTCACGAGAAACCAATTTCAAAGCAACCATTCTTCGGGAGCAAAGGCTTCCCCTCTGGTTTTCCTTACCCTCAAAAAAGGATCGGAACCCCAAAAGACCACCCCAAAAGGGGTCCCCTACTTTGAGAAAGCACCTGAGAAATATGCGAAGATCAAACCTCCACTCCGCAGACCCTCCGCTCAACTCCGCCTCTGCCAGACCCAGTCGCTTTCCCAACTGCCGGAAACGCTCCATCCTCGGCAAGCGCACCGAGCAAGCGCAACCATCAGTGCCGGGGTCCTCGGTTCTATGCGTAATCGGCCAGGGCCACAAAAGTGTGGGGCCAGTGTGGGGGGTCAATATATATATATATATATATATATATATATGAGAGAGAGAGAAATAGATCTTAGACATACATTCAAGAAAGGACATACCGAAGCCAGAAAGGCGCCAAGTTTGCGGGGTTGGGAACTAGAATGCTGCCCTGTCCCAAAACATGGCCACAAAGGAGTCGCTGGTTGGAGTGGGGTAAGTTAAGTTTGTTTGAACCAAACCGAAAACCGAATGCGCTTTGACATCCAGAAATGCTCGTTTCTTATTGTTGTTGTTTGCTTTTTTGTCGCTTTTCCACAGCGATAACGGAACTCAGGCTCACAGCTCAAGACCTTGGTCCGGCATCGTCTGGATTTGTGGGTCAAGGAGCCTACAGGTGCTCACCCGAGTTTTCCAGGAAGTGGTTGCCATGGCATCCACTGGAGGAGCTTCCACAGGAAGTGGTTGCCACGGCTCAGCACTCCGAAGATCTCCCTGCCTCCAACCACGGCACAGCTGGCGTAGCCGGCGCTTATCTCGCCTCACCGCGGTCTCGCACATCCGGCGATCCCAGTAGAGATGCGGCAGGCACGTCTCCAGCCACGAAGTTTGGATGGCAGCCGCTCCACGAGCGCGCATGGTCCAAGTGTCTCCTCTCATCTGCTCTGAGGGTAGAGTCGTGCCAGCGCGCTTCCCTGATGTGAATGTAACACCAAATTTGGCCCTTCCGTAAGACGAACTTGCCAAGAATAACTGCTTTGTTCTAGGGGTTGGCTCCATGTCCATTCTGTTCAAGCATAGTGCGTCTCGAAAGCGGGCTGTTTTTGACACAGGCGTTTTCCAGAAGCTCGCAAAAACCCACGGGCGGTGCAGCAGCTTCGTCTCAGGCTGGCGCATGGGAACCAGCGGGGCTCTTGCCACCTGAGTGCCAAACTCCGCGCCCAAAACTGCCAGACCACCGGAGTCCTCAACCACGTCGGCTCCTCTTTCTTATGGTCTGACCCCAATGGTTTCGGCTTTCCTTTTGGGTTTAAAGCCAAAAGAAGACACCCCCGTGCCGGTAGAACCAAAAGTCAATGGGTGAAACGGAACCTGCTCATTTGGGCGTGTGTTTCTTGAAGGGACTCGGCTCACCTTGGTTGAAACAAGAATCACAATTTGGGGGGGTGCCCTCATGTTGACACATGCTCAATTGTGCCATGGTCAAAACTCAATGTCAGCCATGGGCATTCCCCAAATTGGAATCCTGACCATCCCCCAACTAAAGGGGTCAGGGTTCGTCTCTGGTCAGTCAGAACGTGTTGTTTTCAAATGATAGATATTCTTAGGGGAAGCGGCAAATGTCTGGTAATGTGGTCCCTGAAAAAGGGACAGAAAGGGCCAAATACCAATGACTACCCTTCCGACTTGGTCATTGCTTTGATCGCAACCTTGACTTGCAAACTTCTCTTCTCGTAGAGGAGGAATTGCAGGGTTTGACTGTTGGCCCCCTCTTTGCCACAAATAAACTCCCCTTTTCTGGGAACCCTCTTTAAGGGGAGCTTCCTGGACTCTATCAAGAACAAGAAAGCGCACGCAAAGTGGAGAAAATGCGTGGAGTATGGCATACGGCTCGGCATCCAATTGAAAGGAAATACGGGTGTGTCTTTTTCGAGGGTGCCCCCTTTTTGGGGCTGTTTTGAAGGGAAAACCGAAAGCATTGTGGGGGTCCCCTAAAAAAATCGCAAACCCATGTTACTTCCAACGGGAGACCCCCTCCAAAATGGTTTGTGGACACAAATCCCCATGTAAACGATGTGGACATGGGTCAAAATCCCGTAACATCCCAATCCCCACTAACATAAACTAAAATGGGTGGTGCGCCGGTGAGCTTTTCTTGGAAAAGTCGATGGCCCTGGCAATAAAACAAATCCAACAAAGCGCCATCTGCTTCTAACCAAACTAACCTAGAAAGGACACCTGTGGACACAATGGTTTCACTGGGGATCCTTCGCTTTGGGCACTTTGTTTGGACGAGTTGATCCCTTGTTTCAAGACGAATCGACGTTGTACTCACCCCGAGCTAACCGGGGTAGACCGAATGGTCACTGGGGAGTAGTAAAGGGAAAAGCGGGAAACATCGTGAGGTCCAGTTCGGGTGTTTAGTCTTGCTCGGGCTTCCTTTTGAAATTTGGAACTGAGATTCCATTTGATTTGGGAGACTCCTTTTGAGACTTGGATTTCAGTTTCCATGTTGATTTAGTATCGGTGGGTATGACTTTCCATTTTATTTCGCATTGCGGGGGTGTCCTTTTGAGATTTTGACAAGGGGCCAGGCCACAAGACCTTCTCAGAGGGCCCCTAAAGCCAAATTAGGTGGGCCTGAAGTGTGGGCAGTTTTGTGAACACAATGACCTGTAACATTTCGGACTTTTTTAGGGCGGGCCCAAGTCTGAAAGCAAAGCCTGAAGCTTCACCAGCATCACCCGACTTGTCTAATCATCAGCTGCGCTGTGTGCCTTTGAGCGAGGCCGCCCTACCTGTTGACCATTTTTTTTGCTGGCAAAGTGCTGCTCAGACCCAGGGACCCAGACCTCCAAACATCCTGACATCCCCAGCCTGTGTCATTTTGGTTTATCTTCACCCCTAGTCAGCATCCCCATCCTCACCCACCAACCTTCCAAGATAGCGCCCTGGGAGCAGCTGGAAAGCGCCATGTGAATTTCCTCCAGTTTGGGGGGATCCTAGGAAAGCTCCAAACCCTCGCAAGCCCTTTCCCAAGCCCTCAGAAGCCTGCCCAGGCACTCCCAAGCCATCTCGCAAGCACTTCCAAGCACTCCCAAGCACTGCCAAGCCCATGTCGTGATTGGCTTTTGATGCGCGCTTTGCGCGGCGAGCGCGCGCACGCACTCGTGCACGCACACACGCGCTGAGCTGAACAAGACACTGGTAAGAAAACACACCTTTGGGGAAGCTGAACCTTGTGGATTTTTGGGAGGCATCTGTTTAATGGTGTACTCGTTGCTTTTGGGCTGCCGGGGGGGATGCTTGTCTTTTTTCCAGGTGCATTTGTTTATCATAAGTTGACATTAGGCGCCCCCCCCCCCCCCCAAAGAAAAAAAGGCTGGAGAACCTTGGCAGCGGAGGAACCTTCCGGGGACGCGTTTTTCGTGGTCTTCTCGTTCCGTTCCTTCCTTTTGGGGGGAGGGGATGTGTGTGAGCGTTTGCTTCACTCCGTTCTTTGAACTTCCGGGCGGCCCGCCCAGTCTTTTTTCCGACAAAGACTGACAGGGACTGAGGCATAGGTGGCCTTTTGGAAACATAGATGGCCCTGGTCAATGGAATAAACCCCACCACAGGGATCCTTACATTATACACCTGAACATTGCCTTGTAAATTGTGGTTTCCCTTTGTTTCGGTGTTGAAAAAGCAACATGTTTCAAAAGGTTGCAAATAAACCCCGCCTAAACAGTGGACCCCTGTTTACCGAAAACCTGACCAGATCCGACCCCCGAGAGAACAAAGACTTTTAGCTGGTTGAATGGAAAATCATGGAAGACCAAAAGGCAAAGTCAAAAAGGAAGCCGATGAAAAGGACTAACTGATCAAACTATTTTTCGTCCAACTAACCGATCAAAAGGACAGCCACGGGCTATCGACCCAACGGAAGCGCGATTCGCGCCTCCTCTAGCTCCTTGCGGGTGGGGATGGAGAGCCGGGCGAAGCTGGTGAGCAGGCGCACGCCTCAGCGAGAAAATTCGCATGGGGGGTCTCCCTTGGGGTTGGGGCTTGTTTTTTTGTACGTGTGTTGTTCGTCTTCTTGTTTAACGGGACACCAAAAAGGCGCCAACCATTTTGGGGTACCATTTTGGGGCACCAACCATTTTGGTGTTTTAATGGGAAACCAAAAAGGCGCCAACCCATTTTCGGGGTACCAAAAACAAAAAAACACCAGAAGTAATCACGTTAAACTGGCCTGCGGTCATTTTAATCCTTGTCCTCTGGTGGTCATGGTGATGGGGACACCCCCAGTGTGGTGAAAAGGACAATGGGTAGAATCTGGCCCAAGAGGTGATGCTTAAACCACCCAATTGGGACATAGGGAATCCTCATCTGTTTTTTGGAAGCTGATTGTGGCAACATGCAACATCAAAACCATCTGGCCTTAGCATGTCTTGTTCCTTGTAGCTGCCTTTCAAGAGGGGTCTGTTCTCATCCTTTCCCCTCTAAATTTCAATTGGCTTTGCCTTTCCAATGCTATCAAGGGGCCCCAGGGGTGAACCCCCTGGAAACCTTTCTGGGGAAGGCCTGCTCTCCCCATTTTGTCTGGCAACATACGACATCAGTCAACAAACCGGAATTCCAAGGGTCGTCAAACTGGAATTCCAAGGGCTCCCCAGCACCAGTTTGGCGATGGTCCAGCGATATGGTGCCAAAATGGTTCCTAACTTCGCACGTAAGCCTGACAAATTATTCTGTTTTCGGGAGAAACGGCGCCCTTACCCTCCAAAATTGAGTGTTCTGAAAAATAAAGGATCCACAACTCATAGTCCAGTGAGTCGTGGACAGGTGGGAAAAACTGCCATAAGGTAGGGCCCATCTTTGTTGTTCACTGACCATGGGCATGAGGAGCCTCACAAAAAACGCCACATGAGGCCCGGTCCAATGGAGTGCGATGCCACCGACGCGTGCATGGACAGCCACCTGAGGCTGCAAAGGTCCCGAAGGACCGATGTGTTGTTTCAAACAAAAACAAGAACAAAACAAACAAACAAAAAGCAAGCGGTTGGGCTCCAAATCCTTGAGACGAATGGTGCCTTAAAGGGCCTAGACCGAACAAAGAATCTGACCTCGAAAAGGTCAAGAGTTTCAGATCCAAAGCCTCCATCAGCGGGTGTTCATCGGGATGTCCACGGATTTCGAAGAAGTCATGAAGCCAGGCCCCAGATAAACAAAGTCCCCCCAAAAAAAACACGGCAAGCGGACACTAAACAGGGCCCTCTTGATGCATCTCCTCAGGAATGGAAGAGCCTACATAGGCTGATCCACAAGCTATAACCATTGGCAAATGAGAACCTGACTTGAAGGCGGTTGCGGATGGACCATGATGGACCTGCCGAAAAACGGCGAACAGATGCTCCACTTGAACCCAAAGGCAAATGAAGCGCGGTCGAAAATGCAAAGGTTTCTTCAAGAAGTAGTGAGTCCCCTGGTTTTTGTGGGAATTTCGTGAGTTCCCCCAAGCCCCTCCCAAATGGAGCATTGCTAATCCTGGGGAAATGTCCCACCGAACCTGAACCGACTCCGACCCCGGCACAAGAAACCTGCCAGTCTGAGCCCTCGAACTCGGCTCCCAAGCGTCCGTGCCAATTTGGATCTTAAGCTCTGCTGGGATGATACGAATTGCAGTGAGGAATTCCCAGACACCTTCATGCATCTTCGATCGCAATCCAATGAGGAGGCCACCATTTGCGAAACTTGGTGGTCTCTCTAAAAGGTCGCGTCCCTGGATTTCCCTCATTGACAAGTTGCTCCAGTTCACTCCTTTCCATTGATTTGCGCTTTTTGCGCCAGAAGCCCGAAAGCAGTTGGAAGTCGGCATTGACCCCTGATGGATCTTCCCAATCAGTACGACGGATCCCCTCCACGGGGTCCCAAACCGGATCCTGGGCAAAAGGGCGAGCTAGTTGTATGGGTGGCTGCGTGTTTTATTGGGGCTGCCAGCCCAACTTTTGGAGTGGCTTTTGAAGGGAAACCAAAGCCGGAGTATGGGTGTGTCGAGGTTGGTATAACCACCCCAAACAAAATGCCAGCCAGCCATTCAGGAGGGTTTCCCTGATGAAACAAACCATGGAAACGCTTGGAAACTCCAAATCATGTACCCTTTGACACTGAAAAGCCGGACCCCGGATATGGCCCCCATGTTTTAGCAACCTGAAAAGGGTCCTTTTGATCTCCTTACCACGGGGGGGTTTTGGAGTTACTTCCCTCACCAACTTCTTGGACGACCTTCCCTCATCTGAGGCTCCGGCACGGAGAAGACCAGAAAGCCACAGGCACCTCACGAGACCCGCCCTTTGACCCAACTCCCCAGACCGCTTCGCGGCGAGGCCTTTGGCGGTGAACCTGTGAAAACCAAAGGTTTACCCGCCCGACAAACATGGAACCTACGCAGATCTAGGTCTCCAGATTTGAGAGGTTAGAATAGGGGCACCAACCCAACTTTTTCTGTAGTTTATTTTAGTAGGGGAACCCTCCCCCAAAGAGGGTAAAAGGGCACTACTGGGGGACCTAGAGATGGAAGACCATGTTCCTGGAACGGATCCCTGTGCAAGTTCCGTGTTTGTTGGGAGGGTAACTTAAGCCGCTAAACACGGGAGCGTGCTGTTGCTGTTTCTGTCTTTTTCCTTGTTGGTAGAAGCATCTCTTTTCAATGGGAGTGGACAGGTCCCGACAGCCCTAGATTCCATGATTGGAGGGGGTACCCCTCATTTCCTCCCTCATTAGAGTTGCCCCTGGGTATAGTCAAGAGCACTTTTGGTATCAAATAGACCCTTTCGGACAGCACAGGCCCCAGGAACACAGGACCAAACCAAAGGCCTGGTATGTATCAAAAACCAGCTCAAAGGCTTCAAAATGATGGTGTAAGTTCGGAAACCCCACAAACACGTTGATTTGAGTTGGGAAAGCCAGAAGGCAAAAACGAGCGCACTGCGTCCAGAAAGATCTCCAGGCCCCAAACAAATCTTCGGGTGGCATGTTTGGCAACTTGTCAAAACCGCTTCCAGAGCCGAAACCCACCTGGCTTTCCCAGGCTGAGATGCGCCGGATGCCCGCTGTTTCAGGTCGTCGCCCAAGTTGAGATCGCTCGCTGTCACTTGCATGGCCTTTCAAAATCCTCAACTTCCCAGGTGTCCCACAACAAAAAGGGCATGCTGCAGCAACCCCGAGACGAAGGGAGGTACTTGCTCAGGACAGCCTGGTTGTTTGACAAGAAAATACCCGACACACGACCCTCGCAGCTCGAGGCGGAGCAAACCGCATCAGCAAGGACGTCCATGCCGAGAACGCGATGCGCCTTTTTCCCCCTTAGGCTCCGGCTGAGATTAGCGATCAGAAAGAAGACCTGGGCCACGAGAGAAGCAAAAAGTGAGGCTTCGGTGTCCTCTCGCAGGTTCTTCACGAGTCGAGGACGATGAATGGATTCAACGTTTTGCCGGATTCGACCAGTTGGAACCGGGGATCTTCGGATTACTCAGGGCTCATTGTACTTCTCGAGCACTGCATTTACAGGAACCCTCGGGTTTTGGGCGGCCTTTTTGTTTAATGAACGGTCAAAATGACACGGGAAACTTTGTGAGTTCAGATCCCGTGTTCCCAAAAGGACCACAAAATCCGGAGATTCTGACCACAAACTTCCTGCGAAGGGTGTGAGCACCTCGCTTGCAGTTGAGCGGCGACCAAAAAAGACTTGGTCTTGCTCTCCGACGCGCCCTGCGCAATGCACAGACCGTCGCAGACCACTTACAGAGGGGGGTATCTACTGCATTACATTCTTATATGGCCATGGGTCAAAATCTCGTACCCCCAGTGAACATCCCAATCCCCACTAAAATAGACTAAAATGGGTGGTGCACCTACCCCAAAATGGCACCCTCCAAACATGCATACCTGGAAATGTCCTCGAAGGTTCAAGGTCGAATACTAAGCCATGGCAAGGAGAGCCTGGATTGCAGAGTGACTACCTAAAGGGGCGATCGGGTACCTTGCAAGCGGGTAAGAACCCAGGCTTAAAAACCCACCTGCCATAATTGTGAGTCTCCTAAGTGGAATATAACTGCGCTTGTTACCCACTTACCAAGTACCCCGATCGCCCCTTTGAGTGGTGCTTCCGGCGACCTTCAGTCGTCCATGGCCATCTTTCCAGGGCTCCTTTAGCAACCTGACTCTGGATTGGACAAGCCGGGGACACGAGCCAGAAGTACCTAGAAATGTCCACCTTTGAATAGCCAGCTTCTTCACACCTCCTTTTTGTTCAGGGCTTGACATCATACCCTGCAACGAGTGTGTACTTGGAGTGGGGGGATGCTTGTTTAGGCTTTTGGTGGTATGTCTATAATCCCTTTTGAAGGGATGATGATCACACTCCAATAGCTCTTGGTTGTAGTTGATTCCCAGCCCGGTGACGACTGAACGTCGCTAGAAGAAGGAGACTTCGGGTACGAAATGGGTATGTACTGCCTTCTTCTTGGGCTCACTGAAATTTACGGCCAGGGGGCCATTTATTTGTAGAGAGCATCTAACTATGCAGCTCGCCACAAAAGGGCGCTTGACCTCTAAAAGCGTTGGGTGGTCGACTTGTTCAGAGCCAAACACCGGACAACGAGTCGAAAGCCTCAATCATCTGGTTCTCACAGTAGAAATGAATACAGAACCTCAGCGGCTTGAGGCTTCAACTTTTGACTTTGACACGCAATTCATTTGCTGGGCATCACAAATAACCACACAAACAAAAACAAAAAGGGGGAAAAACAATGAACAAATAAGCAAGCAAGCAAGCAAGCAAGCAAGCAAGCAAGCAAGCAAGCAAGCAAGCAAGCAAGCAAGCAAGCAAGCAAGCAAGCAAGCAAGCAGGCAGGCAGGCAAGCAAGCAAGCAAACCAACAAACAAACGAACAAACTAACCAACCAAACCAACAACAAACCAACCAACCAACCAACCAACCAACCAATAAACAAAGAAACAAACAAACAAACAAACCAACAAACAAACAAACAAACAAACACGCAAACAAACACACAGACCAGCAAACACGCGCAAACAAACACTCAGACAAGCAAACACGCAAACAAGCACACATGCAAACTAACTAACTAACTAACTAACTGACAACCAACCAACCAACCAACCAATTAAGAAAGCAAGCAAGCAAGCAAGCAAGCAAGCAAGCAAGCAAGCAAGCAAGCAAGCAAGCAAGCAAGCAAGCAAACCAACAAACAAACAAACGAACAAAGAAACCAACCAAACCAGCCAACCAATAAACAAAGAAACAAAGAAACAAACAAACAAACACACAAACAAACACACAGACCAGCAAACACGCGCAAACAAACACTCAGACAAGCAAACACGCAAACAAGCACACATGCAAACTAACTAACTAACTAACTAACTAACTAACTAACTAACTAACTAACTAACTAACTAACTAACTAACTAACTAACTATGTATCTAACTAACTAACAACCAACCAACCATCCAAGCAAGCAAGCAAGCAACCAACCAACCAACCAAGCAAAAAAACAAACAAGCACACAATCAAACAAACAAAATCACAAGCAAGCACGCAAACAAACACTCAAACAAGCAAACAAACAAACAAACAACAAACACACAAACAAACAAACAAGCAAGCAAACAAACAAACAAACAGATCAACAAACAAACAAACAAACAAACAAACAAACAAACAAACAAACAAACAAACAACAAACAAACAAACAAACAAACAAACAAACACGCGAAAACACAGGGAAACAAACAAACAACCAAGCAAGCAAGCAAGCGAAACAAGCGAGCAAGCAAACAAACAACACAACACAACACAACACAACACAACACGACACGACACAACACAACACAAAGCAAGCAAGCAAAGCAAAGCAAAGCAAAGCAAAGCAAAGCAAAGCAAGCAAGCAAGCAAAACAACATAAGCAAGCAAGCAAAACAGCACAATGCAAAGAAACAAGTGAAAAATGAACAAACAACCAAACAAACAACGAACAAACAAACAAACAAACAAACAAACAAACAAACAAACAAGCAAACAAAACAAACAAACAAACAAACAAACAAACAAACAAACAAAAGAACAAACAAACAGCAACAGACAAGCAAGTAGGCAATAAAACAAACACAAGAAGAAACGATGAAGAACACGTATTGTGAAATTATATTCTTACACAAGTTAGAGCTTCACAATGAACCCGAATAGTTGCACTGATCTGCTTTAGAGCCCGAGAACCATGAGGGGGGCTCCAGTGTTTGATCACTCCACTGACTTCTGCGTGAAATGAACGCTTGGTGACTGAACGTCAGGAATCGGTTCAGAACCAACGTCAGTCTACCCTGGCTCAAAGAATGAGATGATCCTGGTAGTTGCCATGCCGATTCTTTAGGAACCCGTGGAATGCTTGGCTCAACCCCCACCTCCAACCGACCCTAACTCTTCGGCCCTAGACCGAGATTGGGAGGGCGTCAAAATTAGGCCCCTAGGGTATCCGTCTCAAAAGGCCGCGGCCAAAACAAGTCCGAAAACCTTGGAACCGGCCAGATTTTTGGAGAAGGCCCACCTGAAAGTCTAGCTTGGAAACCGAACAGCAAGGTAGATGGATTTTGCCTCACTCCAATCTTCTCCTCAAACAGTTGGGCGCCTTTTGCCTGTTCTGGCTGTCTGTTGGATTTGCTTTGAATACCCACTTTTTTACGGGCATGCTTTGTCAACCCCTGAAAGTGTGGGGGTGATTTGCTATGGAAATCTTCGTGGGTTTTACCATGGGAGGAGGTGTAGCGCGTACAACAACTCTTACTACCCACTTGTCTCAGGGTATATAACGTCAATCACACAAAAAAAGAGGTACAAACCACGGAAAACTCATGCTTCAAACTATACCCGTAATAGAGCAGGTATTTGGAGTAGGGGGTACTGGAATCTCACAAGGCATTACTGCGGAGTGATCAGAATTCAGACGTGAGCCAAAAGACGCCAAGGCTTTCTCACAAATCCAAGGCGACTGCTCCAAGAGTAGCGCGCCCACCAAGTGGTAGACATCCATTCCTCGGTCCAATAAGAGGTATCCCAACCAACCCCCGGAAACCTCAACCCTCCCAGAATCCGACGCCTTCCTATCGGAGAGCGTGGATCTCGGCCCATAGCTTTCAGCTGGTGACTTGGACTTGAACCCAGGGAAACTCGCCGCAAAGCTTCCTGTAGGATTCGGATGGGATGATCACATCGGGCGCGAACAACTCTTGCATGGGGCCCTAAGAATTGGAACGGGGTGGAGTACTCCAGCACCGAAAGCCCGTGATTACCAGAGAGGAATGTGTGAACAACTTAGGCCCAGCGATTACTGGAAAACAAGACCCTAGATTTAGGCAGCTGGCAAGTCAAGGATCCTCAATCCTGTGTTTATCAAGGGGCTGGGTGCACATGATGATGTCCCCGAAACTGCGGGGAATGAGTTGCTTTGATGCTCCTTACATTCCCCCTCCCCTTTCTCAGATTCCAAAGTATTCACAGAGATGCATTTGAGTCCCACCAGACAAACCCAAATCACCAGGAAAAACCTCCCGTAAAAATTCCAAGTCCCTATTTTGACACATAGGAAAACCCCCAACGGCACGGTCCTATGGGTTTCAGGCCACCCGTTGGAATGCCACTAGAACCAGCAGCCCCCATGTCAAGCCCTCTTTGCTCCAACCTATTTTTATGGCGGGTCGGTTGACTCAAACCGACATCATTTAGGGACTCCCCCCGGTTTCGAAACTTTTGACCAACACGGAGGAGGCAAGTGAGCAGCGCCAAAAACCGGTCTATTGTGGCTACAGTACGGCCCATATCAAGGGGGTGTCTTTTTTGAGGGTACCCGGTCAATGGTTGGCTTTTCCAGGAAACCGCGCTTTTCTGGTCTTCACCTATTTAGAGACAAGCCAGAAAAATCTGTGCAACCATCTTGAAACAAAAGTCCATGCAAAATGAGGGGGAGGAATTCTCAAAAAGGTGCGCTGTCCTTTTGGTTTCCTTTCCTTGCTCCTAAGTCCCTTTGGTCCAAGGAGCTCCCCACAGTGAGCTCCACCAAATCTCGCAAGTCCTGCGCCAGAAATGACCACCAAAATTGGTGGAAAAAGGATAGATAGGGTGGATAGATGAACACTCTGAAGGGGAAAGCGGCCCTAAGACTCCAATTCTCTCATGAAAGTGGACAGGAGGGATTTATCAGACCACCACGAGCAGAAAGCGCAAGTCCGCGCCCGTGATTGTTGGAAAAGGGATAGATAGATGATTCCGCTATTCCTAACCCTCTTGACGCTTTCTTCCTGAATCTTTCGCGACCAGCATGGCCTATTGAAGAGAAACTGCTCGCTGTGTTTACCTCTTCCGCTTCGGACCCTTGACCCTTGCGCGTCATCTGTGCTTACTGGCTGTCCAAATGAATCCGGAGTGGACGTTACCAGGAACAAAGCGGGCAAAATCATCAGAGAAATATCGTTCGAACCCTGGGGCATTCCTACGATGGAACGAATGATTGTTTTGCCAACAGGACGCGGGCAGATGCGGAGCCTGAGAATGGGGGGATTCCCAGCATGGATGGCTGCCCTTTGGACTCGCTTTTACATCTGCACCCATGAAACAGACATCCATGTACTCCTTCGCGAAATCCCCATAATAACGGAAGGGCTGCTCTCCCCACAGCCGAAGATTGGTCCTCACGGAAAAGCTTCTGCTGCTCGATATTCCTCGGCGAATGATCCCAAGCACTTCCGCCGTATCCTGCCAACATCTCCAAACCATGGGAAAACCCACTTTCTGTGGTACCAAGGTAGGCCATCCCCATGACTATGTTGTCACTTCAACGAGGATTCCCTTGGCCACAAAAAGTGGCAACCGGAAATCCGATTTCCCATAGCCTTGCCCAAAGTTCCTGTGGCGGGATTCTGGTGAGTTCTCGGAATGGTGGACACCCCTTTGTGGGTGGTGTTCGAAAGCACCCGGGAGTATGGGTTCTGCTGGCCCAAGAAAACCCCAAAGAATGAAAACGGTGCCGTTTTGACTCGATGATGGCTGGCACTGATTACAAATCAACAGCAGGCACAGTAGATGGCAGTGCCCAAAATCAATAAACGCGTGCGTTGCTTTGCTGCAAAAAGAAAAGAAAAAAGAAGAAAAACAAAAGCAGAGCGAAAAAAATAAAGTTTGGACAAGGGCCCTCTGCAAGGTGTTTGATTGGCAACAGAAACCAGCACCATCCATGTTCTCCTTGCTCTATTGGGACAGCGGGTACTTGCCTCAGCTTTTGCCCCCCAAGCAAGACACATGTTGCAAAAAACATGTAATTGTTGCCGCATATTTTGCGAACCTCAACATCACACCCACTGTGTGATGTTAACCTGGAGTGGAAAATCCAAGAAAAGCAAGTGCAACACATAACGAGGAGTAGGGGGTACCCTCCTCTCACCCACCCTTTCTTCCGGGCAAAGTTTCAAGAACCAGGCCATGATAAATACCCCATTTGACACCATACCGCGAAAACGGTGGGGGTATGGGGTATGATGGATATGTCTTGCTTCCCCCCTCTGCGATCGGATCTCACAGGGTTCCCCGAGACCCGAAAACACCGGGCCAAGCCGGGCGTCATCTCGTACTCCGCCAGCCGCCTTTCGAAGCTCTGCTCTGCGGCGATGACCTCGAGAGTTCGGTGCAAACCTGAATTCAAGTCAGACGGATGCGCGCGAAACCTCAAAACCTGCACCCGAACCCGAGCCAACGGAGCAAAAACTACGGACAACACATGGAGCGGGGAAAAACACTCAAGCGGGAAGCCGCATGGACAAGAGACTCGAGCCACACCACTTGGTTGCTGTTGACCCCCCTGCAAAAAGTTTCTAACTTTTTGTGGGTGTAGTGGAAAACCCAACTTGGTTTCAACCAAAAGGTTGAAGTCTAAACGATCCAATAGCAGTCCAGACCAGGCGTTTTGGATTCGGAGAAAAGAAAAGAAAGACTCCCGCCTGGCGCTCCACGAAGAGCTCCGGAAAGGCATCCTTCACAAAGCCGCCTCAGCCCATCAGCCCATCGCCCGATCGATCGGGTGGCCGGTGCCGGCGTGGGCCAACAACCCGCCGCCAACCGAACCGGCCAAGTGGGGAGCCCCGCCCAGTCCCTGGGCATTTGTGGGCCCCCCCCAATCCTCCCCGTGCCATGGATACGTAGAGCCGACTTTTTTCCAGGCTCAAACCCTAAATGCCCCAAGGGGCCCTCCGAAACCTGCTGGGGCGCCGGCTCAGGAGCTCCGTCATACCGCCCAAGCGGCGCCGCGCCGAAAATGTTGTTTGGCCGAGGACCACTTCTCAGCTGTTCGGTGACCCTGGAAAAACAGGGAACCCTTCTTGGGGAAGACCCTTTTTTAGTGGGGCAGCCACCGGAAAAAGGGGGGGGGAAAGGGTGCCACTGAACAACTGAGACTTGGCGGAGGGTTCCGAAAGGTGCCCAAGCCACTTCGTTGGCCGGACTTCTGTCCGATGCTTTTCTTTCTTTCTTTTCGGCACCCAAGAGGGACTGCAACGCAGGTGCCACTTCTTTCAGGACCGTTCAAGGGTCTGGCTTCTTGGATTTCCTCGCCAAAACGTGTTCGAAGCTGAGTTCGAAAGGGGAAATGTAGGGATCCCAGACTCGACCCCGGGTGAAGGAAGATGTTGGGTGGCAAACCCTGGCATGCTTCGGCGGCAAAGCAGGAGCTAGAGCAAATCTGGGAAACTGCAAGTGCCTTCTAGGTTTTTTGGGGGGTCCTAACCTCCAGTTGCTTGGGTCTTGGTTGTGGATCGTAAACCAGGACCCCTATCTCACGGCCGGTTTGCAGACTCGAACTTCTGAATCAATTCCATTTGCTCAAGAAGCCAAGATGTCGGTCATGATCGTGCTAGGGCGATGGCTCTTTTGGTTTCAGGTCCTAGCAACTTGCTGTATTGTGTCTTATTGCTTTTGATTTCCTCCAACAAAACCCAGCTAGATAGCCAAGTTGCTGCTTTGCTCTAGACACTTTGCCCGAAAAGTCAGTCAGAGGAGAAACGACCACAGGCGAGCCAGGCTGGAACAAGAAGATCGCATGCCCAACCGGAAGATCGCGTGGTTCCGCTCCCTTTGACTTGAGCCACGAAGGGAAGCGTTGGACCAATCTTGCTGCATGCCACGTCTGGTCCATGGAGGATGAAAACACCGGGCCCCTTTGTGTCATAGACTGAGTTCGAGCCATAAGGAGAGCTGTTGCAACGCAGTGACCCCTTCGCGAGTCCCCTTTTGGTCGGTTTTGCAGAAGGAAGCAAACCCAAATTTTTACGGGGTTCATGACCATCCCGCGTCTGGATGCTGCAGCCTTCCCACTGGAAAAGGCTGGCTTCATGTTGGAGGGGCTGACCAAGTGGAAGGGCGTTCCAACCATAACTCTTGGGCCATGGACATGCTTCCCTCAGTAAGCCGGAAAAACACATGGCTGTGGGTCAAAACCAATGGTACCATTTTGGTTGTTAGGTGAATTCACCACCCAGTTTATAACCTATTTTACTGGTTGGATTGAATCGGATGTTCACTGGGGGTACGGGCTTTGGATTTTGCGCCATGGCCAAATGGGCGTCTCAGGTAAGCTGCGAGCCTCGGGTCTTTTCACCATCCCTCTTGGCCCACAGCCAAGGAGCCGAATTTTGAGCGGGTTGGCTTTCAAGGGGGGGGTCCTGCCAAATGCCTGCGGCGCAAGGTGAGGACATGCTGTGGATGGACAAAACCCATTTCGCACCACCCTCAGAAACCCTGGAACGATTCAAATTCCCCTGTAAAATACCAACAAAGAATAGTGTCTATGGCTTGTTAGGTGGTGCGAAATGGATTTCGCAACCATCCGCAGTAGTTCGCCCAAACAGCGACAAGAAGTCTTGGTCGAAAACCCAGCGCCAAGCGCGGGGGCTAGGACCAAAGGTCTCAAACATCTCAGGGGCGAGGGACAACTGGTTCTCCAAATGTTGAAACCTTGGGAACAAAGATGGGAAGGTGTCAACCCCACAAGTTGCCCCTTGTTTCCCCAAAACTTTTGGGAAGGTGTCGACAAAATGTTAGTGTTTTACTTGAAGCCTCACTTTGGGAAGGTGTCAACAAGAACGTCGCAAAGCTCCAAAGGAGTACCAACAAAAGGCGCCTCTCCTAGGGTGTCCCAGAAAGCAAATGGCATCCGCCTGAAGGGACCTTGAGAGCCAAGAACGGTCCCTTTAACAGGGGCAGTGTATCAAAATGGCCTTCTTTCGGCCTGGCGGAAGCAAAGGCGATGCTTCAGATGCTCCTCAAACAAAAATACAAACTGTTCAGACGGCAAATCAGATGGGATGACGACAAGCTAACCCGTGGTGTGCTTGGAACCTAATCTGTTCATTCCCAAGCCCCTCAAACTTGATCTTTGTGGATCTGGCCTGGCCAGTGAATTGAAGTTGTGCTTCGGCCATTCAGGAAATCCACTTTCATTTGTGGATTGATCAATATTCCTGGCCCCCACATGATGTGTAACTGTTCCCACGTCTTCCAACCAATGTCTCAGAAATCTCAAAAAATACTTGTGGTGGTCCAAAATTGTCCACCCAACTCGTCATCCCATGGTTTTCTCCGGACCTTCGGCTCAACGCCCCCTCCCCCCTTCCGAAAACCCGCGCCTCCGCTGGGCCCGGCGGGTGGGTCCTTCAAGGGGCCCTCCAGCTCCTCCCACTGACTTTCTCTCGCCACGGACGGACGGCTTCGGGCGCCACAAAAGACCGCCGGGGGGAGGGGGGGGGGGGGTCAGGGTCAAAAGCTGGGGGTTTCTTGGTGTCGTACAGGAATATGGCAGGAAGTTTTGGTGCAGACCCAACAAATTTGACGGGGTTTGGGTGATTTTATCCATGGTTCGCAAGGGTAGTGGAAAAGATCGCCTTGGAGATGCACCCAAATCTTGCTTCGATAGATGGTGGATTTCGAAACCCGAGCCCGGGTAGACCAATCAGGTTGGGAACATGTGATGAGAAACCCAACCTGCTGAAACCATGGCTTCCACCACACTCTTTGAACTACCTGGCTGTGTCCTTTTTTGAGGGTACCGCTTTTGTGTGCTTTTAAAGAAAACCAAATGGAAAACCGCAATTTTGCAAAAATGAAACACACCCACCTTCTTTGTTGAAAGTCGATAGAAGGACATCCGCTCGTGATATGTTTCCCTTGTGTTAGTGAAAGTTGGCCCCTTAATCGGGCACCCAATAGATAAGAATCGGCCAAGGATGCCACGAACCAAACCATATGATCCGTCGCAGTATGGCAACGGGGGATCTACATGTTGCAAGTAAGCCAGCCACCAACCAGGTTGTATTCCCGGGGTTCTTCTCACCGATCCGTCCCACCCCTTGAAACAAGTTTGGCAAATGGGAAACCTTTGCAATTGCTATGAAGTTGCCACCATATGGCGGGTGACCTCGGCCCCCTAAAATGGCGGGTGTTCCTTGAGAAGCCCAAAGGGCGTATCCGGTCCGAGATCCACTTTGAGAAACTTCCGCATCTGTCCATGTCTCAAAAAGCCCACGAACCCCGGCCCTTTCATTTCTGCGCATGCTGCGGGAAACCAAAACCCCAAGGCCCGAAAGAAAGACGTCTAAGCCCAGCAGGCGAGTTCTGGGGGGTCATAAACCGAAGACCCCACGAGGCAAAGGGGAGTTGTGTGAAGCACCTTCGAAGGGCTTGTCCACGCACTTCCAGTTTTGGCCAATTTCAGCGCTCCCAAAGCGGGCGGGGGGTCTTCAACACGGGGGTGACAACTGCAGGTCCGACTAAACACATCAATCTAAAGCTGACAGGTGTGGGGGGAAAACCCAAACCTGTTACAACCATAAAAGTCGTCAAAGAAGCCTATCCCCTGAGAAAACAGAAAGGTATACCCTTGCTTTTCCAGCAAGGAAGTCTGAAAACAACT